TGTTCTCACCATAATCTTACCTCATAATAATCCTCCTACTACTCAAAGGTTTCTAGCCTTCAAAACCAACCTCTTGTTTCCCCTGCTCCTCTAGTTTCATTTTCCTCTGCCACACTTTCCTTTTCTTTCTCTTGTTGCTCTATAAACGACACGTTCTCTGTCATTGCAGGAAGCAGCTACTGTTGCTGCTGTCCCACACCCTTCCTCAGCGTCTGCAATTAATACTTGTCAAAACTTGACAGCGATTTTAGTTTCAGTATTTTCACCAGCTTAAACGCATAATGTCATTTTCTTCCATTACATTACATTTAGCTGACGCTTTTATCCAAAGCGACTTACAATAAGTGCATTCGACCAAGAAGATACAAACTTGAAGAAAACAGAATCATATAAGTACATCAGGTTTCTTAGAGCCAAAACATTTCAAGTGCTACTCAACTGGCTTTAGATAAGCCAGTCCTTTATTAGTATATAAGTGCTTTGTTAGTAATTTTATTGCTGGAAGTGGAGTCGAAAGAGATGAGTTTTTAGTCTGCGCCGGAAGATGTGTAAGCTTTCTATGTATATACTCGCATTTTAGACTCTGCTACTAACTGTATATCTGTAGACTTGGTATGTCTTAAATGTCCGGTTAGGATGTATTAGAACGAAATCTAAAATGAAAATTGTAAATAAGCCATCTGTATGTCAAATATGTCTTATATGTCTTAAATGATATGATGAATTGGAAATGGGGGACCCTGATGTAAACAAGACGAAAGTCTTTCTCTGGTCTGCATCCCCTTAACAATTGTATGTTTTGAGCTGTACTGTACTGTACCCAATATACAAGCTGTTAATAAACTTTTCAATCAATTAATCAATTCTGCTGTCCTGATGTCAATGGGGAGCTCATTCCACCATTTTGGAGCCAGGATAGCAAACCGACGTGTTTTTGCTGATGGGAACTTGGGTCCCCCTCGCAGTGCGGGTGCAGCGAGCCGTTTGGCTGATGCAGAGTGGAGTGCACGTGCTGGGGTGTATGGTTTAACCATGTCCTGGATGTAGGAAGGGCCAGATCCACTCACAGCATGGTGCGCAAGTACCACTGTCTTGAAGTGGATTCTAGCAGTCACTGGAAGCCAGTGAAGTGAGCGGAGGAGCGGGGTGGTGTGGGAACATTTAGGAAGGTTGAAGACCAGACGAGCCGCTGCATTCTGGATGAGCTGCAGAGGTCGGATGGCACATGCAGGTAGACCAGCCAGGAGGGAGTTGCAGTAGTCTAGTAGGGATCTTTAACACAAAACAACACCAAAAGATGGAGGTGGGGGTGAAATAGCATGCCGCATATTTCTCTCAGATAGGATTCCATCATTTAATTGTTCAGGATTTTTTTTCCAGGGAACAAAATGATCCCCCTAGATCCTGTCCTCAACAAACCAACCGGACCCGGGTATAAGAACTAGAGCAAACCATGAAACGGATGCACAAAAAGTCAGCCTGACGCTTTTCACCAACATTTGCTCAGAATGGTTCTCTGATAACCCAATCATCCAATGACTGAAACCCTTCATCTGGTTGATATAGAGTAAAAAAAAAAAGTGCCTTAAAACTGGAAAAAAAGTCAATATATAACAACCACTGGCATAAAGCACATCGCTGAAGTTTGCACAAAAAGGGAACATCCCAAGACCGCAGGAAGCGCTGAAGACTTTCAAGCTAGTACAAACTTTGAATAGCCCTTATTTAAATCATAGATCCTAAAAATAAAATTATAAATTCATACTCTGAAGCCATATTGCCTTTATGTTCCAGTGAGAAACTTTCATAGGAATAAACTGGGCCACACTTACAACACTTTATCCATTACACGACCATTATCATTTCACACAACCAAATTAAACTGGCTGTAACCTTGATTAGAATTAGGTATTTCTCTAGGTTTGATAGTTGTTGGAAGCTTATATATTTGGGATATGTCACAAAATATATAACTCAGGTTTAGTTTTTTTTTTTTTAGACATTCTTAATGCAGAAATGTGACATATTCTACTTTTAAACTCTCTCAATGATGGCTACATCAAGGATCTTAAAGGCTTACAGTAGAAGAATAGAAGAAAGAAATCACTGCTGGACGGCTGAGCGGACCATGCAGCCGACACCCCAGCTGTGAAAACCTCCAACCACATGAGTAAAAGATTCCTAAGAGTCCCGTTACTCCACTTATTGAATTTTTACAACCTGGTGGGCTGCCAGGCACTTGGCTGCTCCGACACGTTTCGTGCCATTGCCACTCCTCGGTCCAGAGAAACACGAGAGACAGACAGAAAGACAGAAAGACAAGGGAGCGAGACAGCTGGCTGAATCATCCTGCTCACCGACAGCCCTCTGCTTAATGACCTCCATCTGCCTTTAGAAAAGATAATGGCACATGTTGCTGTGTGGCAGATGATTGTGTACCGGCGTGGAGAGACATGTTTATCACTAAAAACCACACACAGCCTGGCCTTCATCGCTGCTCTGTCAATGAGAAACCTGTAGTCTTGTGGTTTTGAAGTTGGAAGAGGTGAGGGTGGGACGGGGGGTTGATGAGAGCTCACACCTTCACACAGAACAAAGGTGCTACAGTTTCACTACTGTAAAGTGGTGGGAAAACAGCACTTGTGATATCACTGATGACACGGTTGTTGCCAACAATGAATTCCATTGGAGTAGCTCACGTTGGCGACTTGAATCATAGTTTAGTCTGAGAACACAGCCCTGAACCGGGACTATAACACTCTTATCCCACCAACAAGGCCAGATATTAGTCAGCTACAGCTTATGAATTTTTAAAAATCCCTTTGGGTAGACGAAATATGGTGCCCACAGCAATGACAAACAAACAACAAAATACATTATTCCATCCTCTGTCGTCTTACTGTACAAATGACTGTAGTACATATTGGTGAATGCTGCTGTATTAATGATGTCTATTGAAGATGTATTAATATTAAAGCACTTGTATCTAGTGGCGTTACACGGTGTCCGGGCAGATATCAATTACTTTGTGCTCTTGTTCTGTAAAAAAAAAAAAAAAAAAAAAAACATATTTTCCTCTATTTTAAAAGGTTCCTGAAATAAACTGCAGGCTAATAGTAAGGGACTTTATCCATGGTCTAACAATTCTCCGATAATTAGTTTCCTTTTTTCTGATCATTTGTCCACATGTATTATCAAAGCCTGTTATGCACACTAGGCTTTCCTTCTAGTCTTTTGGCTAAGAGACGATTCTGGTCTTTTAAATAAAGTAACAATAGTCTACTTGTCGATCCAATGTGTTGGCATTTCTATTGTTTCTTGGCAAATGTGAAAATAAATAATTGTTCCATTTCTTAGTTTTCCCGGGCTAAATATTCTCTGTATGAATTGAAATGTAAAACTCACTCTGTAGTTTTCGAACACCATCAGTCAGTACTGATCGCTGTGTAACACTTACGGCCCGTCCACACGGCGGCGTGCGTTGAGGCTTCAGCGCTTCTGCCCATTCACAGTGAGGTGAATGGGGTGACGTCACGCTTTGCCGAACTGCATTGTGGTTCCGTCGCTTCGCTTTGCTCGCGTTGCTCGCTTCAAAAGTTGAGCAATGTTCTACTTTTGAAGCTTCGACGGAAGCGTCAGCCAATCGAATCATATGCCAGTACAAGCTCTAGCCAATCAAACCGCGTGCTTGTGTGTCCGGGGCGGGAGATTCATGTGATTGGTTGTTGGTCGAGTTTCAGACACGCCCAGCGGCAAGCTTCAACGCACGCCGCCGTGTGGACGCTGCGTTACTGTTGCCTTTTAAGCTATTTCCTATTGCTACATGACTTTCAATAATGCACATCTTCAAGAATATATATAATTTTGTATACCTTCCTTATATCAAATGTTAACTTGAACATTTGGCACCGATTGCATTCTTGAACAATACCTGATTCAGAGTGTGCCTAGTGCGATAAAACCCTCCAGGACTGAATGCCTCGTAGGAATCATGCAGATTTATAGTTCAGTGTTTAGCTCAGCCAGTGCCGTGCAACACTTTAATTATAGACGCTAAAGTCTTTACATTCTTTTATTCACCTTGTGAGACGCAACAGCAGCTAACAGATAGTTTGAAAACTGCTTTGATAGATCACAAGACGTGTCCACGGTTACTGAAAAAAAATATCACTGAGCCTTTCTTGCTAAAGCATTAAGTACAGTTGTCAACAAAGAGGGATTTACTGGAGAACAGGCAGTTGAAGGATCTTGTAAAAAGGCACAAAACACACGGGGAACTGGCAACAACCACGCAGAAGTACAAGAGACGGAAAAGCCACACATTCATCTGTCCCATTAAAAGATTAATATATGTAATTTTCTAATGTAAATTACATGTTTGACGTACATCGTGTGCCGTGTTCAGGAACTCAAATTACGGGTCATAATCAGCTACAAGCTAACTAGCATAAACTGCTACATAATTTTTTTTAACACTTCTTAAAACAGTGCTTAAGTAATACAACTTTTAATGAACTGATAATATTATAAAGATTATATTCAATGTGTTGCCTTTGTTTAACGTGTTATAGTCCCAACAGAAAGTAAGATCCGTCTGTTTTGTATAATAAATGCTTTATATTATGGCCAATGGTCGGAACAAGGTAAACAATTCAGTTCAAGCTCTGCAAATGTTATTTTTCACATTTGATAGTTTAATCAGAGACACACAGTCCCACCACAAATGTATCTTGAAAATATTGTCTGTTTTGTTTAAGATTGTTAAACAGAATCAATAAGGATAATGTTAATTTGTACTTGCACTGCTATTTGGAAATGCATCTAGTCTTTGGCCAGTTCACATTAGGAATTAAAATACAGTCTGCCATTGTCTTATATGCTCTTATACTCATGATACTTAGCAATACTTCCAATCTCCGACTTAAGCTAGGCAAGAGATAGCAGACAACATGTATTGCTTTAACAGGGACAAAACAAAAGTGACCTTTTCTACTTCTTACCGTGCCGCTAACCCTGACATCGAAAAGCCGCCCCCAGTCATCTTCATGGCTGTCCACCATCATCATACTATCGTCTACCTCCAGGAACCACTCCGCCTGCAGGTCAACCTTCACCTCCTCCCCCATGGAGTGCATCCCTACGGCGGGGAACAGCCCCTCCGCAGACACGGGAACCTCCACTGAACCCACCTGCAGAGAGGAGGGATGAACGCAGTGGGTGAAGAGAAAGAAAGACACGACGCTAATACATACTGACAGTTCCTGTTTGAAACAGAACATTACAGAATGTCCTCGTGTTTTAAAAAACACCTACCTCTTTGCCGTTTTTGGTGAAAAAGACTGTTGTAAAACCTGCTTCAATGTTCTCCGAGTGTATTCCACAGCCGATGTGGTCACCACGAGCACACTTTGGCCCAAACTGCTGACCGACAGGGTTTCCATTGTATATCCTAGGAAGAACAAAAATATATGAATCTTCACAATCTAAAAAAGCTAGCTACTGCAAATATATAACCATTCAATCATTATTATGTGTATAAATAAACAGCAATAACTGTAATTGATGAGCTTTCTGCTTGTGTTATCTCCTGCAAGTTTATGATACCAGTAATGTTTATCATTTATCAAGCAACAATGTAAAAACTCACTGCTTCCAGCTCCTCAATTATGAGGATTTGCTGCTTTCTTTGTCTTTGAACTATTGGTCAGACAAAGCAAAACATTTAAAGAGGTCACCTTGAGCTCTAAATCTACAGACAAAGTAAGTTTATTATGAGAGTAGTTGTTAGTTGAAGCCCTATGAACAATAATTAGGTGTGCAAGGTTAAGAGCCATTAAGGACAAGATTAGATATATGTGACCGAATAGTTAAGTGATTCACTTTTTTTATAATGCAAAGAAAAGAGCTATGGAGAATCATATAGGGAATGAATGCTGTAGTTATGTGTGGATGAAGAACCGGCAAAAGCCACAATCCCTTTTCTCCATCCATGCAGGAAACCGAAGCTGAACTTAATGGATGGCTGTGGGCTGATGGTTTGACTTACTTGCCGTTGTCAGCGTGGTAAGCTACAGAGTATGGCAGCCAGCCAGGCTGGTGGTCCAGTCTGTAGAATTTAGGCACCAGGCCCACAGCGATGGTCCCCCTCACCCCTGTGTCCACTATTGTCACCTACACACACACACAAACACAAACACTGTAACTCCAATACTTTTCATTTGATAGTCAAATACTTAATTAAATCCTGAATTAAAACTACAACACAGATTTTTGTTTTTATTTATCACTTTTATTTGATATTTAAAGTCTTTAAATTAGGCAACACTATTATTATTTGTTTCATACCACTTTTACCATTAGATTTAAGTGGTGGCCACGTAACATTGTTTTTCCGACTAAGGTGATCCAAACGATTCAAATTAGTGTTGATTAGTCCAAAAGTAAAAAAGTTAAGGACAATAGTTTTAATCCAACAAAATATTTTGCTTCTATGAATATTTGTTGGCATTAAGCCTACAAAAACAACATTTTTACAGTGGTTAAAAAACGTTTTTCTCTTCCGCCCTCAATATATTTTCACAACCTGCTTTGGTTTCTGGTGTTGTTAGTGTATTTATGGTCCAAAAAAGCTGCAATATAATTAAATGTTCCCTTTTTAATGTTTAATTCATTCCAATACAATCATGGTGTGTTTACTGTGATATTTCTGGCCACAAAATTGGTAGCATGAACATTTTATACCGGCACATCGTTAGTCCAAAGCCCCTGTGGCAGCAGGGGAAAATTTCACAATCGCCTCCGCCCCTCAGCTAGTTAAACCCAATCAGAACAAAATGACACACAATACCTAAGCAGAATTAGGTGAAAGGTAATGCCGGCGAATACAGGAGAACGGCCCCATGGGGAGTGAGCTGCATTTCCTTCCTTTTCCCGCTGACCTCTCCAAGTCATTTCTCCCCCCTCTGTATCATTCCTTGCATGTTTTTCTCCCCTTCCCCACATATCTGCCTCCCTCATTCTCTACCTCCCTCTTCAGCTCAGACCCCCAAATCGCTTCTCCTGCATGACGGCACATGTTAAACCAAACGGCTTGGGTTTCTCTGGCTACGAATTCCAGGGCCAATTCCTTTTCAGTCTGGCACTTTTTAAGGACAATACTAATACTACATTCTTGGCCTCGGCAGGTCATTACTTCCACATGTAAACTGTTAAAATATCATTTTTGTCTGTGAAGGCCGTGAGTAAATGTTACAGAGCAGGAGTTTGCACACTGATGAGCCGTTATGTCGAAATACATTTTCCAATAAATCTGTTAAAACAAGTGGAATGCTTCAGATGTTCAGCTCAACTTGGAGAAAACAGCTTGTGATAACTGCAGACAGAGCAGCAGAAGTGACAGAGGCAAGATGGATTCCTTGTGAAAGCAGAACGAGGTGAAACACGAGGATCGCAGTGACGCATACGTCCACATAGGCCTGCCCTTTATCAGAATAAACGCTCCCAAATCTTCGAGATATCGGGGAAGCTGACAGCGTGTGCGTCACAAGGTGGAGAATAATGTAGCATCAAACTCAGGGTAATGACCACGCTTAAATCCCCTTGTTTAAATGTCAGAGCGATCCATCAGGTTGCAAATGGGATCCTCGTTTCCATATAAATATTGTTATCGTTCCCAATATCCTTTTTAGATAGGAGACGAAGTGATTCTCAGGTCAGAGTGATTGACATTGCATTTGATAGAAATGTCACATCTGGCACATATCTGGGAAACATGAAGGCCAGAAGATAAACAATGTCAAAGCACATTGTTAGCCTGCCTTACTCAAGAAGATCTGAAATGTTTCAACGGATGCCGGAAGTGGTGCTACTTGTCTCAAAATGTTAAGAATCTAAAAAAGCAGAATGGAAGAAGTAAATAATCTCTGCTGATGCTGCAGGCTGCTGTCTGGCTCTATTTGCAGCTCAGCAGAATGACGTAGGTTCACAGGATAATGTATATCTCTAAAGTTTCTCCTGAAGCCTCAAAACCCAGACGAGGAAGTGCGTCCGCCTCACCTGACGCCGAGCAACAACACGTCACAATTCATTTCATTTCATTTCAAACCTTTATTTATCCAGGTTGTATCCCATTGAGATCATTGATCTCTTTTTCAAGGGAGACCTGCTCAAGTAGGTTCCACATAAACAATGACGCGCATCATCAACAAACTGGCCTGCTCATAAATAACACACTGCAGCCCTTTAGCAGGTTATTTATGACCAAACTTTTGCAACTTTCCTGTGCTAAACCACCCAAAAACTTTAAATATACTCCTGTAGGGCTGCACAATATATCGGAATGTAATCGAGATCCCAATAAGGGTTGGTGCGATATTCAAATCGCAGAAGGTGCAATATTTCTTCCATTCAAAATATGTGTTAATATTACTCAGCAATGTGATGCTACAGAGAAGTCCTGTGCTACAAATCTTACTCCTACCCATTTTAAACCCTGCTTTAATCGTTTTGTTATTGCACTTGAACAATATGGCACCTTATTGGACAACAGGAGAAACAAAAAAGCTGCAAAAACCTTCAAACATTGTAAAAGAAAGACATTTAATCTGATTTCTGAAAAGGACATTGATGAATTGTGTACTCCCAACCAATTGTTTTTTTATGGCAATTGTTGTTAAACCGCTTAACCCCGTTGTAAATAAAGGGGAAACAAAATATATATCTTTGTTTCTCTTAAAAAAACCTAAAATAATAAATACATCTTTCAATGATAATGAGGATAATGACACAAAAACAATTAAATCGCTCCAACATTGTGATTCATATTGCAGTTGCAGTATCAGTCAGATTAGTTGCTTTTTCCACATTGTCCAACCCTACTCTCCTGAATGAGTGAGAATTGTTATGACAGCCAGATTTTCTTAATACATGTCCGATAGTTTCTCCTGCTGCCAGTCTGCCTGCCTGTCTGCTGGAAAACACTGTGTTAGACTAATCTCACTCAAAGATTACTAACCCACACCCTATCCCTCATTCCAATGCAGCTCGGACATTCTTGAGGTAGTGGTTTTGCACTGGTGAACTTGGACTGTAGGGGGGCACTCAGAATTTAATATGAAGTTGAGAAATTGTCAGCGATGGGATTCCAGCGGATACAATTGCTGGCTTGATGGTAAAGCAATCTTGAGCACACACACAGGGACGATGGTATGTGGTAATGATATTATATCACATATCAGATCCCCCCCACTCAAACATTTCAGAATGAATGATTGTGCAAAGGACAAACATTCGACTTATGTTCTAATGATTACCATATAGCTAAAAAAAAAAGTAAATACACAGTTAAAGATAGCAGTTGGACAAATGAATCTTGGGAGAGGTCTTGCAACTCGATCGGAGCTCAGTTTCAATAACAATGCCAGATATTGACTTACAGCACCACTATAAATGAGCCTTACCTCAAAATAGCAATTTCCCTTTGATAAAGGATGGCCAGCCACATAGCAACCCACCTCCTCAGAGTTCCCTTGGTAACTAAAGAGAAGAAATGACAGGTTAACAATAGGTGACTTCTCATAGTTCCGACTGCAGTGTGCATAATCAGAAACACAAGCACAACCTCGTCTTTGGAAGGAAATACAGTGGAGACACTATCAGAGTAATAAGATGCACAAGACGAGCAACAGATATCAGACTACAATATGAACCCAAAACTTAAAATGATAAGACACTTTAAAGGCTGCTCCTCAGCCAGAGGATTAAAGGAAAACAGATCAAACGACATGCGCATGATTTTTATTTGCTGTTACCGTTGTATTAGTCTCACACAGCCAGACCTATCTCATGCTCCACATCCAAGGAGTCAGACTACTGTTTGATAACGTATGATATCCTCCACTATTAAATAATAACTGAAGGGATGTTTTGTAAAGAAAGGGGAAACTGGAGATGTGCAAGGGCAATTCAGTGTTTAGCAGCTGAATTAAATGCTAACATATTTAGAAAAAGGAATAACTTTTATAACCATAGAACTGTACTGTAGGTATGTGACAAACCTGATGCAAACTGAATGTAGGAGCCACCGTTTGTAATAAGCCTGTGGAGCTTATTATGGGATTGTTTGGACAGCTCATCATCTGTGCTATAACTAACTAACACTTGTATGACGGAATTTAGACATAGAGGGTAAGCAGGCATCGATTTTTTTTTTAGATTTACGTTTCACTCCAATTTAGCAGAAATTAATTGCAAGTTTTTGATTTTCAAAACAGCATAATAGCCAACGGGACTTCAGACTTGATTTGAATCAAATTAGCTTCAAATTTAGCAGCTTACTTATTCGATCTATTTATGGATAGTGGTTGCGGATACAAGCGGCCGAGATGGGTTTTCTCCGCAGGGTGGCTGGCGTCTCCCTTAGGGATAAGGTGAGAAGTTCAGTCATCCGGGAGGGACTCGGAGTTGAACCGCTCCTCCTTCGCGTCGAAAGGAGCCAGTTGAGGCGGTTCGGGCACCTAGTAAGGATGCCACCTGGGCCCCTCCCTGGGGAGGTGTTCCAGGCACGTCCAGCTGGGAGGAGACCGAGGGGTAGACCTAGGACCAGGTGGAGGGATTATATCTCTTCGCTGGCCTGGGAGCGCCTTGGGATCCCCCAGTCAGAGCTGGTTGATGTGGCCAGGGAAAAGAAAGTTTGGGGCTCTCTGCTGGAACTGCTACCTCCACGACCCGACCACGGATAAGCGGGAGAAGATGGATGGATGGATGGATGGTTGCTACACTAAAAAAACTAAAATGATCAGCAGGGATAGCATCATTTTTTGAGAAAATGTTGTGTATTTTATGTTAGAAGAAGAAGAAGAATTGGGAGGGATGAAACCCATCTTTAATGGTCACACATGCAAAGCACACAGCACACAGTGACATTTGTTCTCTGCTTTTAACCCATCCTAGTACCAGGAGTCTAGTACTAGGAGCAGTGGGCAGCTATAGTACAGCGCCCGGGGAGCAATGGGAGTGAGGGGGTGTACGGTGCCTTGCTCAAGGGCACCACGGCAGGGCAGGGGGTGAACTGGGACCTCTCCAAGTAGCAGTCCACACTCCATATTTAGGTCTGGTCGGGACTTGAACCGGCGATCCTACAGCTCCCAGTCCAAGCCCCTACTGACTGAGCCACTAATGTTATGCTGACATAGAGACAGGCCACCATTTAAAGTGGTTCTGAGGTTACCAGTAGACCTGTTTGGGTTTATTAATGCGAAATTGCAAAACAAATGCTAACATATATGTGTATATATATATATATGTCCCTGTTTTCTGTATTCTACTAGTTGTACAGTAAATCAGTGAAATAAACAGCATACTAATTTCTTAAATACAAACATTAAAAGCTTTAAGATGGGTACAAAGCTAATGTGTAAGTTCCTCACAGGCTAAATAGCTCTGGATCTAAGGTCTGATCCGTCATAGCAGCACAAATACTGTCCTTGTTAGGTGGATTGTATATATATATTGTAAAAAGAATACTTTTATCTTGGCATCCCTACAGGTAGAATATTTTAGGGCAACAAGTTGAAGCTTAGAAACGTTCAAGATTATCTTTACAGCACCAGCTTCTGAGTCCTTTTTATTGTTAAATGAATGGAAACACTTGACCTACAAGTACAATTATACAATAAGGGAACAGATTAAACAGAGCCTCATTATCACTTCAGTTTGAGAACAGGCTGACCTGAGTGTCTCTCCATCCTTCTGTATCCTCATGTAGCGTTCCTGTGCAGGGCGCCCATCACCGATACCTCTGATTCGACGCCTCAGATTCAGGAGGACGTTGATGTCATCCATCTGATGTCATCCATCTGAATCATGAAAAAATGGTGGGTAAAATAAGGTAAAATTAACACAAGTTCAGCAGGCTGTGTAGAATGGGAGAAATACACAACTAAAAGGGAAACTACAATCGCAGTGCCAATAAAATGTACCATTTAACACATTTTCTCCAAGCATGTGCTCCTTTTTGTATCAAGATGTGGCGCCGATGAGGGCTCAGAGGTGAATTATCAACAGTTGGAAGGATATTGATTGTATAAACAGTTGTAATTGTATTAATTTTACATTGATACAAATGTAAAATCTCTTGACACTGGGCTTTTTCTCACAATGTAAAAATACAGATGAGTTTCTGTTTACAGTTGGACACTGATCGTTCTTGTAGTAAAGTTTCCATTTCACTTATAGTTTAAGGGTGTTCAGCAATACTGTAGTAAACCAAAGAACTCTGAAAGTCATTTCATAAGACACAACTCATAGGTACTAGAGTCAACTCCAAATCTGTTGGGTGTGAAACAAATACAGCTATGGAGTTACACGCTAAAAAACTGCATAAACTGTAAAAGCTGTTCAAATGAATTTAATTCAAATGTATTTCCTTTTTTGTTGTTGTTATTAAACCTTGCCTTGCTCTTGTAGTTGAAATGGTTAACCTGTTGCAAGTGCCATTATGTAAACAAAACGTTAAATACTAACTAAAACAATTAGAACAGGTGGTTTAAGTTTCTAATTATGTGCCAATGAAACATCAGTTTGCATGAAAAACCAGGTGAACACACACATAACTGCCATAATCAATATGTTTTTTAAGATGAAATTATAGTTTTTTTTTTTTTTTTATCAAATATTGACAATGACCAAACACTACGAGACAAAATAACTATTACACATACGAAGAAATTGTAGTTTTCAGTTTGATTTCGTTTGTGGTGCATTGAGGGCACATTAAAACACGTCAAAAACGTCCACACAATTACCCAGTGTCTCTTAAAACAACGTTCAGAGATTTTCCGATAGTAAAACAAAAGACCTTTAAACTGACAGCAACGAGAGGAAGGTGGGCGTGCCAATGTTTACATCTAAGCTGCCAAGCTAGAAACCATGCTAACGATAAAGCTAGCTTAGCATGACTCGTTGGGCAAGCATTTATAATGAAAACTGTTTATAGCCTTGTGTTTATTACATAGCTTAAGATAATAATCCTTTCCTCAGTTGGTTATAAGGGGTTCAATTACTCGTAAAGCTAAAAAAGCATTAGCAGCGTTAGCAGCTAACGTTGTGTAGCTTATTTGCTCTTAAGCTCAGGTTCGTTGCTTAGCAAAGAGAACGACTGTTCCTAAAAGTGCAGCGTAGAACAATACTTTATTATAGGTGTCATTATCGATATGTCAGTCACTTACCGGTTAACTTGGGGACAAATACGACAGAAACTCACTTTTCTGTCCATCAGCTATCCTTAGCTCCTCATAAAAACTTTGGAAACTGGAGTTCGGCGCTTGCCTGTGACGTCACGATCGTTAATGGAACAGCCAATCACAGTGAGGATTGAGAAATGGTGACAATCTTTCAGCCAATCCTGTCTCTCTATTTCTCTGCGTGTGTGTCTGTTTTTTTGTGTGTCATATTTTTACTTTAGGGTCTTATTTGACAAACTTAAACAATTGGGAAAATAATAATTATTGGCAACGTGACGATTTTAAAAACAAACCAACACAGTGTGTTTCATGCAGTGGTGGTAAAAAGTAGCAATACCGCAGGGTGAAAATACTCTGATACAGGTAAGAATCGTTAAAGTTCTAAGTATAAGTACAAAAGTGTTTCTTTCAAAATATCAAGATTAGATCTGTGGTCAAAGCTTTCATATTTCATATCTGTTTTAATTTCTCCATATTGTGTTTTATGGTATCAGATGGAAGTCTTGCAGTTTTCTAGAAGTTTGCTCCTCTCAGGGACAAGATGGCCCTTTACCAAGCTGCCATCTCCAAACAAGGAGTCACAAGGGGTGAGAGATATTGCCAAAATCATATATCATGATATATGTAACTGTATATCACAATACTTGTAACTGTATATCACAATACTTGTAGGCTATATCAGGATACAGTTATTGTTGATTGTGTTCTTTGGAGGGATTGCACCCTTTACCTTCTGTCTAATGGAAGAAGCTCATTTGCCCTCAACACAGGATTCACAGGATGTCATTTTCATTACAATTAAGTAATTTCATTATCCTAAACTGAAATATTACCAGAAAGTCATGGAGATACTACTCTTCAGGGCAGAGAAGCGTTCAACCACAATGTTTTGAGTGGATTCTTGTAGTTGTATTGAAGTTGGTGCAGAGAGACTTTGAGGCAGCTGGCTGGGAAAGACCTGAGCCATGGAAGCAGAGAGAAGGACAAAACTGTGTGGTTGTAGGAGCAAAAATGAATACACCCAAGGGCAGAGTGGAAAAGAGAGCCCCCGTTGGTCTGGCGTGTGTCTTGGAACATTCTCCGGATATGTGGAAACGGGCTAACTTGCACGCTGATGGCAACACAAGACGGCAGGTGATTTCTGCCCTCCTTGCCAAGATTAATCAGAACAACAGGCTGCTGATGGCAGAGCAGATGATTGGCCTCATGTAGCCCTGCATTCCAGTGGGAAGTACAGACCAAATGGGTATATCTGCTTGTGCCCTGCCATGTCTTTACTGTACTACTTCAAATCATCTAGGGCCAGGCAACTGCTCACAGCACAAAAAACAAGTCCCATAGTTTAGATTAATACCCAAATGATGTTCATGTTTCAAGTGAATGACTAATTTGGTGTAATGTCCATGATGTTCATCTGTCTACGTAGCGCCTTTCGCAGCAATGCAGTTGTCAGATAACACAGGAGACAATGAGACTTTAGATAAGAGAGGAATCCTCAACACACCCAATGATGGTCATGGTCAGATCCTTGAACCACTTTCATTTTTAACTCATTCTTGCAGTGCCATAATGTGCCGTTTCATAAATAGAGCGTAAGTACTCGAGTGCAAATGTAGAACAACTACAAAAATACGTTGCTTTAATACAGTTTCTCGTTTTATAGAGGTTATATAGAGGACTTTTAAACAAAATCACTCAAAATCTTGCATAAATAATTACTGCAAAGTTGCTTTTGGTTAAATAATAGTGTGGAATTGGAGGAATTATTAGCAGTTTGACTCTGGCTGGTCAATGTGCATTCCTGCAAAAGTGAGCCCTCCTCCTCCTTTTCCTAATTATCCAGATGATTTCTCTTCCAATTCAAACATTTGCTGAGCAAAGTACTTCGCTGTTCTCAAACTTCAATATGTAATATCGTCCATGAAGTCAGTTAATATCTGAAGTTTATTTAAAAATGTAAAAGCGCTGTAGAGGCAATGCTTTACATACCTGACTCAGCAGGGATTTGATAATGCTGAGGCTCAGTTTTAGTTAGTGTATAAAGTCTTATCTTACACTTCAGTTTTGGAATATTCTAACATTTGGAAGCACATTTAGGAGATCAGACTGTGGTGGCATTTGCATCCATCAAATGTGGATAAAGAATCAAACCATTCAGCTGTCTTTGTGGTATTTTATTTCTTGTAAGAAAGTTCAGTCAGTCGTACAGAGAGCATCCGAGTGAACGTTACAAGCTTGGCAATACTGAAAGGAGCCTTCTGGAAGTTATGGAGGCAGCATCAGGATGTTCTCAGTTCACAGAAGTCGAAGGTCATACTGTCGATGCAAATAGATTGTAACGAACAACATTGCAACAAATCTTCTTAATAAGGAGTTTTCCCAAGCTAAGCAAAGACGTACAGTAAAAGCCAGTAAATTAACATTAGAAAGTAATAATCACACAATGATAATATTAAAGTTAGTGACTAAAATACTTTTCTGTTACAAGACTTTAAATCTTTACAGATGTATTTTGCATATGACTCATTACTTCAACAGTCTCTGAACTTTGATATGTGTTTCAGATTTGACAAAAAGACAGAGTTTCTCAGGTGGAGCATTCATGTTCTTCCAGGAAATATTCTCCACATAATCACATCGGGAGAAACCACGCAGCTGTGCATGTAATGTAGCAAATGGCATTGCAGTGGCGAGGCTGATGGAGGCACGTGTACATTTGTATTTGTTACCATGGCAAATATGATTCCAGAAAGGTCTCTGACACTGGGAAGAAAGTGCAAAAAGCAGAACATGCCTACTCCTGATTCATCATCTGTAACGTTCAGAATGAGTGGAAGAAGAAGGGTTGGATGTATGTGTTAGTATATAACAGGAAAGGGTGGAGTGATTTTGATAATTTCTGAAAGGAACATAATCCACCCCCCACTTGCTCTCTCTCTCTCTCTCTCTCCTTCCCTGCCACCTCCCTCTCTCTCTCTCCCCTTTTCTCTCTCTCTCTCTGAGTCCCAGCCCCTGAAGGTGTCATAACTGTGCTCTCTCTCTCTCTCCCTCTCTTTCTCTCTCACTCACTCTCTATCACCGCCTTTCAGATCTTTAAAAGCTGGTGCTTTGCTGTGTCTCTCTCGATCTCCATTTGTCTCCTCTGGCACTGCAGGGGACTCAACCGGCAAAGCACCAAGGAGAGCTACTGTATAGAAACGGGGAGGAAGACTGAGGAAAAGGGAGAGAAAAGGGAGAGAGACTAAGGGAGAAATATACATCCAGAAATAGCATCAGCCACATTTAACTGACAGAGAGTGACAGAGTGGAGAACCTGAGACCTGGACACAAAATGCCTTTCCTTTCTTACTTAACAACCGTTGTTTTGTTGCTGATTGCTCACTGCGGATCATGGACCGGGGCAAACCGCTTGGGCCCCTTCAAGGTCTGTCCCTCCTGCAGGGATCCACTGGGGGCAGGTCGGCCCCCCAGAGACCATAATGTTGCCGGCAGCACGTCAGTGTTGGCCCAGGGAGAGCCCTGTGGTGTGTACACCCTGAGCTGTGCCAAGGGGCTCCGCTGTGTTCCCCCACCAAGGGAGCACAGCCCCCTCCAGGCTCTGTTGCAGGGAAGGGGCATTTGCGCCAAGCACAGCAGGACTAGTCCCACTGAGAGGCCCCACCCCACAGGTAAGATACTGTATACACACGTGCATGAAATCACGTATGCACACGTACATGCATGCACCTACAGATGCACTCAGACCTGCGTGGACACTGCAGGTGGGCTGGACAAGTGCACATCCACCACAGAATAATGTTTTTACAGAGTGTCTCCTGTATTGCTGTGAATTGCATGTGATGCTGTGTCACTTACCAACAAAAAGAAAGGCCAAATAGTGTGTGACATTTAAGCCTGGATGCATGTTATGCACCACAGATGAATTTGAAGACCTCAAGCATCTAATACTGTTGGACTGTGAACAAATGTCATTTGTCATTCCGATTGTAGAAGATCAGAAATGATGGCAAATCACATAAAACAAGGATCTCAAATGTAATCTCAGATTGCTGCAACAGTGTATACGTGAAAATATCCCTGCATTGATACAAAATGTTATACATTTAATCCATTTCAATTCATTTGAAACGATCTGCCCTACAAGTCAGCCTCTCTGTAGAGAATTAAGAACAAATGTGAAACTGTCACTGTCACCTACATCCTAATCAAGCTGCTTTTTATTGCAGTGATCTCCATCTACTGTTCAAACTGAGATACTGCGATGAACTATCTGAAAAGGAAGCATACTGATGGAAATTAGGTCTCTCATTGAATGGCCACACCAGATAGATCCTTCTGAGTGACTGCTCAGTGATACAAAGATATACACCAATAAGGGCAGCTTATATTGTAAAATGTGGTTGTGGTTTGATGTTATCGGCTACGTTGGTGTAATGTCACATTCTTATGCCGGTGTGTCGTTTGCTCTCAGGTCCCCATCCCTCACACAGTGGTGACATTGAAAAAGTAAGTTCCTGCTTTTGATTTACAGTCTTTCACGAGTGAAGCTCATGGAGCTTCACTTAAATGGTCAAAAATCTGAGATGTCAAAAGCATTTTTACCAAACATTATTGTGTTAAACACATCAGATGTGATACAGGGGGTTGTATATTGAGCTGCATTGTGTTATAAAGAGTTATTACCATGGATTCTCTGTCGTTTAGGGTGTTGCAGTGGCATGTACACACACTGCCCTGAAGCCATGCATTATGGTGCATGATGTGTGTGCTGCTATGCGGCAGAACTAATTGAGCATGATGTGAATCAGGAAAGTTTCAAGTCGGCCGCTGCCGCCTCAGATTTTACACTTTGCAATTCGGGTGATCTCCAGCATTTGAACTAATGCATAGTATGTATAATATGGATGACAATAATCACATAATTGATAAAGAGGACACAGATTCATTTCCGAAAGTGACAGTAAGACGCACTTCAAACCATCCACTGACCTGAAAAGCCAAAGCATTGTGTAACAATATGGTTATATAATGTTACACAATATGTGACATCTGATATACATATTCTCTGCTTCTGGCTGTAATGCTGCATCACTGTGGCAAATCCTTTGTGATTCATATCGACATTTGTTGTGATCAAAGAGGATTTCTGACAACACAATCAGCTGAGGGGAGACAGCAGCTTGCCACTGCCACTCTTTAGATGAACATGTCTTTGCTTCTGGTTATGTTAGTCACACTCTGCGTTGCTGTTTTCAGGCACCCTGCCGCAAGCTGCTGAATCTTGTCCTGAGGGGTCTGGAGCTGACAATCTTCCAGTCTGACCGTGACATCTATATACCCAACTGTGACACCCGTGGCTTCTACAGGAAAAAGCAGGTAGAGTGTCACACACACCTGTAACTTTATTGGCTCTTATGTGATCTGAAAATGTGTCTTTGCTGCTGTGTAACTGTGTGTATTTCTGAGAGCTGCACCCCACTGCAGCTTTCTTTTCGGTGCATCCAGAGATTTGTCTGTGACCACAGGAGCTGAGAATATGTGACACTTCATCCTCTGAGCCTCTCAGTACTGCGCTATGATGACATATCATTTTCTCTCTCTTCCTCTCTCACCACCTTTTCTCCCACTCTCCCACTCCCCTCCTTCCCCTTTCAAAATATCCCTCTGTCTTTTAACCCCACACAGTGCCGCTCCTCCAAGGGCATGCAGCGTGGCCACTGCTGGTGCGTGGATGAACTCGGCACGCCTGTGCCCTCACGTGCCAGCGAAGATGGCACTTTACCATGCGATGGGGAGTGAGGCATGAGTCTGTCCAATTGCTCTGAGCCTGGAGGAAGAGGAGAAGGTGGAGGAGGAGGAGGAGGAGGAGGAGGTGGTGGTGGAGGAGCAGGAGCACAGGGAGAGAGGGTGGCTTTAGCATGTGCTAGACACTGCCTGGACAGGAGGTAGCAGGGATAAACCACTTCCTATGGAAAATACATACCAGTTAACGTTCATGTCCTCTCTAAAGCAAGACACACACACTCACAGTCCAGCAGCAGCAACAATAACATCTGCCTGAATGTTCAACAGTTGCAGCAGCGTCCTCTGCGTCGTCTGGTGACATGCTGCATGCTTACATTAATGCTCTGTGAACTGCCTCAGTGATCCAAGCGGTATTACTCCGAATGATCTCTATATTCCCTGGCTCTTGTCCTGGCTTTCTGGTAGATCTTTATTTTACTTTTTAGTTTAGGATAGCTGACACTGCCTGTGTTTGTTCTGATCTCAGTGGGCTGAAATACTGTTACGCAGGTGATGCGACACAAATGTTTGAAAAATGTGTCTCCCTCACCGTCCTCTCTCCCTCTCTCCAAAGATACACTGATATCAACATACCTAATTGACAGAATATTTCTTTTCTATTAATTTATTTTTGAGTATGTGTTTCCATCAAGTACTGCTTGAATCTTACAGTATATATATGTCAAGTCAGAAAAAATAATCTTACAAATATGATCCTGGATGCTTTTGTTCATTTTATTTGTCAAAATGGCATTCTGACTGCTTATTAGTTGATTGTTTGTACATATGTTGGATTTTTGTGGTTGACTGTGTGTTCTGAAGTGGCATACAAAAAGCTTACGGCTGTTACCCTTTTCAAAAAGTTGTAAGGCATATTTTTATACACGTCAATATAATATTTTATATATGAATTGTTGGTTTATTTAATGAACTACAGTACAATGCCATGTATTTTTATATTGTCAGCAGTTTCTTATTTAAAGACAGAGATTATTTTATTTCATGTTAGGGGAAGTGTTGTGCTTGAAAGGCACCTTTATGGCAAAACTCATCATTCATCAGAGCTCTATACAACTGCTGCACATCTTATGGTTATATCTCATGTTTTTAATTTCCTTTTATTTATGCTTTGTTTATTTGAGAGTTGAGAATATCCATGTTACTATTATGTTTTATTTCTGGCACATCATACCACAAATTCTGAGTTCAGTAGAGGAAAAAAAAATCAAATTTGTTATTGTTATGTCTCTCCCAAGTCCTTGCAAAAGTCATGAAATGGTGTGCTATTAAAGTGTGATTAGAATTTATCTATTTCTGAACAATCTTGTTGTGCCAATGTGTGTGCCGTGATGAAAGGTCCATGCACAAAGGACCTGTAAGATTTGCAAATATGAAAATAAAACATAATGATAATAAAAATGGAGAAGAATTAAACATATATTAATATAACAATGGCTGTTGGGTGTGTTCTTTTTATTGGATGAAGGTATTTGTGATGAATTTGAATAATGCTGCTGTTGATCATGATGATAAGTTGACGAAGATGATATCTATCACATCACATTTTTGGCTTTAAGTTGCACAAAAACATAAACAACATAATCTGGATACCCCAGATATGTCACGAAAGTAAGAGAAAGTAAAATTACGTGGGTTTCTTGTAATTAAACTTTAGGCTACTATTGTCTGCATCCCAACATTTCAGTCAACAGTTAACAGTTACTATTAACTCTAAAGATTAACTTTTTGCATACAAAACATGATTTAAACAAGATACATAGATCCAACTGAGCAGTTTACATCTCTCAAATGTAGCCTAACTGTTAACTAAGAATAATAATACAGGGTATTTTAAACTGTAAAAGCAATCCCTCTGCATTATGAGTAGTGGAGAGTGGGGTAAGTTGAGCCATTTTTTAGTTATGCTGTCCTCTAAGCAAGGAGAAATGACACAGTCAAAATGAAAGCACACAACTATAATTCAGGATGTCTCCTATCAATGACAATGATAAGAATTCATATTTGATCAAGGGCAGCGAAAATATTACTTCTAAAAAAAAAAAAGTTTTGTGGCTCAACTTGCCCCAGGTTAGGGGTAAGTTGATCCAGGTCAGGGGGTAAATTGAACCACTGTTCAAACTTGGGCATACCTGTTCAAACCTGGGCATACCTACAAAAAATCTAAAAGGTAACTTTAAACAATAAATAACAAACCAAATACAAGTTTAGTTTTTCAAATATTTTTTATATAAATTTCAATTGAATTGATTGATTTTTTTTTAACATGTTAAAAGGAAAAGTAATCATACAAATGGTGATACAATTTCATACATCTTACCAATCAAACACAGGGTAAATTCAACTTTAAATGTAGCCTACAATGAGCTCTAATTATCAACTTGGCCTACTTTCATTAATTTCTCCATTGAAAAACTGGCTCAACTTACCCCAAGGCCCACGGTTCACTTTACCCCATAGCCACCATTTTAGAAAAAATAGCCTAGCATTAAAATTCAGAGTCATCTTTAGCTTAATGACTCACATGGTTTAATACGCTGCTAACACATCAACATATACAATATATTTGTTTAAACCTGGATACATTTTTTTTGACATGACAGCCGATATAGCTGACATCTAGAAAATGTACTTTGACAAGCAAAAAACGTTTTTTTGTAAAAAACTTTACTTACCAGACCACAATGAGCATCTCTCTTTCACAGGCAATGAGAAATGGGAGGAGCTTGCATAATTTCTGGTCACGTGATTACAACTATAAGGCGTTGCCTGGTTACATGGGGTGGTTCAACTTACCCACTGGCTCAACTTACCCCCTTCTCCCCTACTTCTACTTTTGATGCATTTTGCACAGAATACCTACAGTATGTAGTTTTACTGAGGAAAGAGTTTGAACGCATGAATTTGACTCCTCATAGTATTTTACACTGTTGTATTGTGTTGTGTATTGCTACTTTTATACAACGATTGAAATACTTCCACCAATGCGGAAATCGGATATTTAACACAATTATAACATATTATCATTATTATCATATAAAAGATTTGATCCTCAATAGCAATTAGAATCATCAAAAAATAGTCATTAAACGATGGCTTTTAGTTACTGTACTCATAGTGTTTTGAGGTAAATGCTAACGACAGCATGGCAACATGCTAACAATAACAATGCAGCCTGTCTGATGTTTAGCAGGTTTAAAGCTAACATGTTTAGCATCTAAGTTCATTTTGTTAGCATGTTTATATTTGCTAGTTGGCAATAAACAAAAAGCTCAGCTGAGGCTGATGAGAAACTCAAAGGTTTTGTAGGTATTTTAACAGATTTCTACACTGCAGTTGACCCTCCGCTAACTCTGCTATAATTGACAATGCATTATATTGGCCTGGGTTCATGTCAGTTTTAACATGTGAGTGCTAAAAGTATAGAATTGTTATCAGTCCGCTGTTTTTTCATGTGCACCGTTTAACATTGGCAACTTTTAGCCGGGTTTAGTCAATTTTCAAATAACCCCCAAACTCGTTGCTAGCCCTGCACTAGAGCAGGGCTAGCAAACCCAGCGCTAGTTGCAGTTAGCCCTCTCTTGAATGTGCCAGAATTGTGTCTGTGACATTTTCTGAATTGGACAAATCAACATTTTGAACCATAGTTGGCACTAAAATAGAATCAAGGATCGTGAGGTGGACAACAAAGTCAGAACCAAATTGCAATTCAAGAGTTATCCAGATATTTGACACTGACAATCAAAACCACACATGAAGCCTATTGATATAGCATTAGAGGAAAAGTCTGGGGATCACCATTGAATTTCAGGAAATGTAACCCACAGGATACTTTGGGCCAACTGACTGACTGACTGTCATGGCCATCCATAGAGCCATGCTAGCTGCCAGCTAATTATAAAAAAGACAAAAAAAGATATATAACCTTGATGAAACTAACACATCAAAACAGTAATGCACTGCCCACGGCCTCGGAGAAGCAGACCTTTTGGAACACCAGTAACCCAAATACTTCCTTACCATTATTCCAAGCAATAACACAATCAAATGTTCTGTCAGGATGGTGACAAAGTGATACAAATGATGAAGGCAGACAACACTAAATCAGTTGTCTTAACAAATATGGGGACTTTGTCACTTCTGAAGCCTTTACTACTAAGGGTCCCTTTGAAGCACTTGGACAGCTTACTGTGTATTTCAGTTTGAGGCTTTATGATCACATTCCTTATGCAGTGAAATTGAAATTACACATTAGAGCACATTAGAGTCATGCTGCTTTTCTGCCATTACTAGGCACATAAAGGATGATTTTCTCTTGCTCTGCAACACAGAGACCAGATACATGCCTGTTTCCAAGGTAACAGCATAGAATATCCCATTTGTCCATGCGTGATATGAAATGAAGGCCTTGCAGAAAATGAAGGAGGAAGCATGATCCTTTGTAGAATCACACCACCACACGTCATACTTCTCTATGTAGGGTGCTCTGCTATTCTTGGCGATTCTTTTCTGTGCATTGAGCATGAGATGCAAGCACAATACATCCACCGTTCTGTATAACTTACTTAAAAATGACAAGTATGATGTGAATAATGACACGCACATTTTGTATCCAAAATGAAACATTGAAAGCAGGTGTCTTGCAAGCAGATATAATGAAGAATGAAGAGAACTTCCATTCTCTAGGTCAAATATTACAAAATGTTTACATGTTAAAACAGATCAAAAGCAAGAACTGATAATCAATCCAAAAATATTTCTATAACACACTTATTTGTTCTCACGCACCAAGTAAATTGCTTTTTCAACATCAAATACATTTGGGGATGTTCCCTATATTTTACTTTACTATTATTTTGTTATTTATTGGACACAACACACATGAAAAGCATCATTAAGATGTAAATGTGTCAGATTTAGCCAAAGGGAAAAATAGAGCTTGTGTACGAAGATGTATGTTGGAAACCGTGCTGCGTTCAAAGCATATTGGAAAAATGAACCGTTTACTACAATTGAATGCTGACAGGCCTCACATTTGGAAAACAAAATAACATAGTAATGCTGTCATACATTCAAATAGAAAACTAGAATATAGAAGAAGAAAATGTGTAAGTTACCGTTCCCTGGAAACTATCGCATATAGTGGTTCACCTCTCTGCAGTTATGTAACAGTGCAATCTGCCGAATTGTGACATAACTGTTGCAAGAGGTTACAGGTGCAACAAAGCACACTTCTGGACACACCCAACTATGACACAGACATGAAACACTGCTTTACCTGGGGTTCATTTAACCTCTTAGTTGCTCATTTCAAAATGGTACATGACATTAAATATATACAATCAGCATTTTGTGATATGTAAAGTCAAAGACAATAAGTTGAGAAAGTAGATTTGCAAATCATAAGCTAATCGGTATACAAGTTTATATTGACTTGTATTAACTAGTTGTGGACAGTTATAACAGTAGGTACATTTGCTATTTTCTTGTATGCAGGAAAACATTTAATTATCTGAGTACTTGGACCACCTCTGATATTAAAAGTAAATCAAATCAATACCCTTTTTTTTTAATATTACTGATTTTGTGTTCTTCTGCTATTCTCTATGCATGTCAGTTGTAGTTTAAACACATATTATATTTGTTAAATGTCACATTGTCAATTAATCATCAATGTTTAACTTAAATGGAGGCGTGTGGTGCAGTGGGTTGTGCGTTGGTGTTCAAATCAGGGGGTCACAGGTTCAAACCCCACTGCAGTCAGCATGTCGTTGTGTCCCTGGGCAAGACACTTCACCCCAAATTGCTCCTGTGGGGATTGCCCACAGTATTGAGTATAAGTCGCTTTGGATAAAAGCGTCTAACAAGTGACATGTAATGTAAATAACATTTTATTTATTTTTTATAAATATAAGAAAGAATAAAAAGAATGTTCTTCTTTTCCAATATTAGGGATTAAAGCCCTGGATATCTTAAATTCTGCCACAGCTATTTTTTGTATTATATCTGTCTCTCACAAGTCCAACAACTTTATGGAAGTGGAAAACCACATTGCAAGAATTACATTCCCCATTTAAAACAAAACAGGGTTATAATAAATAGTGTGTAGCTCTGTTTCTGTCAGATGTCTACAGGTACCTCAAATCATGATGTTGTCCTTTGTTTTAAGGATCTTACTGCCCTCTAGAGGTTAAGAAATATATTTTGGGCATCCATAATGAGAGTTGAATGCAACTGCTTACATTTGATCACTAAGTAGGACACTGAACACACATAACCATCATGCATGGTTTGATCCAACAAAGCTGTCTGTCTGTATCACTATCACTTAATCATTGTCCATCAGTGATTGGAGCATTGGTATGACTATGTTGTATTCACATTTCTGCACAATGCCCTCATCTTGCAAAACTGTTATGCTTTTGAATATTCAGATATACAACACAACTTTGTATTCACAGTGAAGTGACATATCATATGCCTATTTATTTTCCTTTTTTATTGAAGCATTAGTTTGTATTAACTTTTTTCCTAGGCAGGTGGTAGACATCTGAAATAAGCATCTGAAGAAAAAACTTGCTGTTTAATTATACTTTAATAATATATGTGACCTTTATTTGTGTATTCATATTTTATTAATACAAACTATAAATCAATCAACACATTATGGCGTATTACTAATACACTATCCTGCAGTATATAAAAAGCTCAACCTAATAACATCAAATAAAGTGTACAAATCACTCCAAAGTTAGTCTAATTATAATTGTGTGATATAGGCTGATTTATTGATTATAGAATTAGACATTCTAGATAATGAATACATTTAATTTAATTACAGTTTGTCAATATTACTTATCTAGCCTACTTTAGCTTGTAACAGAGTATGTTTGTTGTAATTTCACACATTTTATTTGATTAAAAGATTAGTACAACTGAAGTTAGGTACGAAGTGATGAGGTAACAGAATTAAAGGGGTGATAAATCCGACTGACCTCTCTTACTTGAAAGCACCATGCAACTTTGCCAGAACCGCCCACTTTAGGTCACCTGACGCACTTATATCGATTCTACTGGTTCTTGGCACCTTTCAATCACAAACTCACCACGTGGTTGATAATAACATGGGTGGGCTCGAGAGGGCGGTGGTGAACTGTCAGCAGCAGCAATGATTTGGGAAATAATATAGTCACGCATTAATTAAGTTAAGTAATGATTCATCTCGCCAGGTTTTGAAAAATAGGACAGTGTAAAAGAACCGAAGCTCGACAGGTGACCTTTGGTTGTTTTGTGGCCGGGGAGGAGACGTTAGCTAGAGCCGTTAGCTCGTTTAGCTTCCAGGAAGACGGACGAGAAGAGCCCGTCTGCGGTCATGGCTGCCCTCGGTAACTCCGGAGCTATTTCCAGTCCCATGGTGGTCTTGGCTCCGAAGACTAAAACGAAAAAGAAACATTTCGTACAGCAGAAGGTGAAGGTGTTTCGAGCCAGCGACCCCGTCCTGAGCGTCTTCATGTGGGGCGTCAATCACTCGGTGAGTCGCTGGAAGCTAATGCTAACATATCTCTGCCATGTAAACGTAGCTTAGCTTAATTAGCAGTTAGCTAACTTTACCAACATCTGTGAGATTCTGTGACCCTAGAAGATCATCTGTGGTTAAACAATCTGATGCTTTGACTAATTATTGACAGGTGGGTTCATTAGGATCTAGTGACAGACTTGTAAACAGCTGTTCAGGATGGGAGAAGTTCTCTTTTCTTGTACTTAAGTAAGTGTAGTGTAGGAATTCTCTGTTACCAGTAATTCTACTCAAGAAAAGTAGAAAAGTATTGGCAGCTAAATAAACTTTAAGTACCAAAAGTAAAAGTACTCATTATGCAGATTGGCCCATTTCAGAATAATATGTATGATATGTTTTGATTATAATTATTGATCATTAAAGTGTTATCAAAGCTGGTAAAGGTGCAGCTAGTTTGAATGACTTTGTATACTGCAGGGTAGCTGGTGAATTTACTCCAGATGTAACTAAAGTCTGATTTAAGTATTGATTTATATTTCACATTATTAATCAAAATCTGTAAAAGTAACTAAAGGTATTAAATAAAGGGTGGTGGAGTAAAATTACACGAGTTACCTTTGAATTGTTCTGGGGTAGAAGTACAAAGTAACACAACATTTAAATACTCAAGTACAGTTCTAGAGTAAATGTACTTAGTTACTTTACACCACTGTAGCTGTTGTTACACAACAAACATCAACAAAAGTGTATTGGGTCACAGCTACACAGCTATTAAAATGTTATGGAAATACGGTGGACTCTGGTAGCAGCTACCAACAATCATTGTATGGCCATACTGAAAGATTTAGTGTACTCTGTCGTTGAATTTGAGAAGGAAATAATGTAGTATAACTAGTCAGTGCAGTAATGTATATCCTATTACTTGAAGTACAAGTACTCAAAGATCTGAACAAGTTTAAAGTGACCCTCTCAGGCATATGAATGGCGATGGTTTTGTAGCCTAACATTTAGTGTCATGAATCCCAGTCAATGCAGCATCATAAATCATGTTTAAAAATAAACAAATGCTAACATTGTTGTTACCTTCTTTCTTTCAGATCAATGATCTTAACCAGGTGCCTGTTCCCGTCATGTTGCTGCCTGACGACTTTAAAGCAAACACTAAGATCAAAGTCAACAACCACCTCTTTAACAAGTAAGACAGAAGCCAATAATGAATTTGTTGAAATGTGAATACTTGCACCTAAAATAAAATGTAACTGACAATGTCTATAGGCTAACCTGCAGAGGAACATAAACATATGAAAGAATCCTGACGTCTGTGTGCTGTCTGCTATAAAAAAGTTTTTGTTATTTTGTGTTCAGCCACCCCTTCTCACTTTCTTACGTCTTCTCATTTTGCAGAGAAAATCTACCAGGACATTTCAAATTCAAAGAGTACTGTCCTCAGGTCTTCCGAAATCTTAGGGAGCGGTTTGGTATTGAGGATCTGGATTATCAGGTATGTCAAGTAATATTCAGTATCTGATGAGACTTCTTTGTCCTATAGGGATGTATCTACTAACTGTTTTTAAATTGTCTTTATTATGTATTTATAGCACCCGTTTTTAGATGTTTTATGTAAAGTGCTTTAAAATGCCTTGTTTGTCTAAAATATCCTATACAAACAAACTTTTTAACATATTAAAAATTGAGTTAAAACTAAAAGGCTAATTTCTACTCTTAACTGTGTGCTTGTCTAGGTTTCGTTGACCCGCAGCCCCCCGGTGAGGAGTGTAGACGATCAGGGAGAGGGTCTGCTCCTCAACTCCTACGACCGGACGCTGGTCATCAAGCAGATCTCCAGCGAGGATGTGGCAGACATGCACAACATCCTGTCTGAGTACCACCAGGTAAGGTCTTGGTCGTTGAAGGAAAATTCTCTATGTTCTACCCAGCATTATGTCAATGTGCCGCTCAATACTTTCTTACTCCCATACCCCGTCTTATTAGTTCTTACTGAGGACTTACTGTAAAACATTAGTGTTACAAATATACAGTTTAATGTAGGTCCAGGGCAATGTGTACAATTCATTTGATTATCTCAAAATCTTGTTTTGGTAAAACATGGAAAATGTTAAGAGGAACTTTACACCGTATTCAGCAAGAAGCTAGTCACTTCTGTAAATGCCCGTCTGTATTTGAGACAAGTCTCTCCACAGCTTAATGTTTTTACAGGAAACCCTCAAATAGCACTCTGCTAGCTTTTTCAAGTCGGGCGGAGTAATGTCTCTAAATGCTGAATAATCTCTTAAATTGTTCATGTACTGGGAGATTGTGTTATTATGGATAATTGTATTATATTCTGGAAAACCAACTGCTGGCAAAGAGCTGGGTCATTTCAGTTTCAGTTGCATCTGCATCTTGAATCTGAATCCTTCCTTCCATCTACCTGTTCATTCAGTTTGCCCCTTACTCATCCATTCAAGGTTATTCCTGTCAGTTTCCAGACTTGATACCATCACACACAGATCCTGGATCACTTACATCCTGTCTGCTTTACTGAACTGTGTGTTAAGCTTCCCCCACTGCGTCCTACTTACAGAATGTTCTCTTTAACCTTTGTTTGGACCTTTTTTGAGGCATGAAAAAACAAAGAGCTCCTAAAATTAGCACTTCCTGGGGGGATTTGTTTTATTTTTCTGCCTCATGGTGAGGGACGTCGACCCAAATGTGGTGCAGTGAGTAGGCAGACCGCTACATATTCAAACTGAGAAGAGAAAACATCTGTCGTGCTGAATTGCCCTTGATCAAGACCCTAAATGTAAACCTCCCTTAGGGGAAACTGAATGATAACGCAGGCAAAACAAAACCCTCATCATCAAGGTTACAGCACTGCGCAGCGTAGGGAACAAACAGTTCTATAGTTGTTGATCTACTAAAGATATGCAAATGTTCATATCAACACATCTATGTTCATGTAAATATTATAGTACGTTTGTAGGAGAGATACGAGGAAGGTGACACACTTTCCCCTCTATTTTGTTTGTTTCTATAAAGGCTTATTATACATTTGCGGCCCAGTCTGGTATCAGTGCTCATGCTTGTTTGGCCGAGTCGTGAGGGGACTTCAGAACTCGGACCACTTAGTAAACTTTTCGCTGCTTTGAGTTTGATAGGAATGTGTAGCCTGTGGTTACGCAGCCTACACAGAACGGGGAGGAAGATGAGGAAAAATGGCAGCTCTGTTTTCAGAGTGGTTTTTTTTAATGCACTTGAATGAACTCATTGTTATCCGAGGCATTACACAGTTTCCCTCTTTCATCATGACCGTTTGTTTATTGTGTCACTTTTCCAGTCAACATTTAGTTTTTAGGGAACATGTTTTGCGTGTTAAAGAACTGTAGATTTAATGATTATTCTTTTTAGAAATGTTTGTTTTGTCAGCTGCAAAATAACCTAATATTGACATTTTGTACTCGAGCATTAGGGCAAGCACGACGGCTTTGCTGTTAAAGGCTTTATCAATATTTTGCTTTCAGTCATTATTTGGATGAATTTTCCGGGGGGTTCGGATCCTCGTCACCTTTTTCATACCTGATGAGTTTGCATCCCTGAAACCAGGATTCATTCTTTGACGTCCTGCCCAGTGTGTTTCATGGGACACTGAATGAGGTCACTGTGAAGAAAGTCTATTTTAACTGACTGAGCACGGCTCAAAGTCTAACCTGGATACACTCAGTAATTGCTCTGCTTTTAAAGTGACCTTTAAATATGGAAAGATGAAGACTGTAGGCCTTTTTAAGACTCTTGTGGTAATCGTTCAGCTGCAAATCTGTCTTCATTTTTTACAATATTTGTATTAGAATTTTTAAACAACATAAAATGCAGTCTTATACATTAATACAGGGGGTCCGTGGGGTCTTAAAACGTATTAAAAGTTGATGAATCAATTTAGCGAAAATTAAGGCTATTAAAAAGTATTAAACGGCGTTTTCCAAGGTATTACATTTTGTAGCTTGTTTTCAATAAGTATATAAATCGTCCAAAGAGGTTGTATTCTACAATCTGCCTGAATGTAATCATTGCGTAGGTGTGTAGTGTGATTCTGTGTAGTTTATTTATGGCATCCCGTTGGATTTGACGTCATCTGAACAGGACATCGCACGCTCACTGCTTGATAGCGCGCGAAGGTCCGTTTACGCCGGTTGTTAAACAACATCGTTATGGGGAAATGCAAGTTTGCGTCCAAATGGTTGGAAGATATGGAGGAAGGACAATCAATACTGTATATAGTAAATGTGAGGTAAAGTGTGTCGCCAAGGTAACCGGTTAGAACTCAAAGTGGTGATGAGGTCTTAAAATGTATGGAAAGGGTCTTAAAAAAGGTCTTAAAAGGTATTACATTTGACTTCAGGATTCCTGCATATACCCTGTAATATGTTACACTTAACAACACAGGTTTGCGGCATTCTCTCGCAGAAAAAAAAAACAACCAAAAAATAAAAAGGCTAAAAGTTTAAGTTTCATCTGTACAACAAATGGGAATCTATTACAAAGTGAAGTATAATAACTGTTAAAGACTCAAAATATGACACGCTTATAAAAAAAGAAAAAGTCTACAAGCTCTGAAACTGCATTGTTACTGCAATAAGTTTTCCATTCGATCATCAGTTAAATCGAAATGTTAACATGATCAGTAAATGGTGTCCATAAACTCTCATTACATGCTGTTTAGCCTTTAATATGTTAATCTGTCTTCTGCTATTTTTATGTCTAAATTACAAACGTGTTCCACTTTTCGAGCTGCCATGCGAAAACCCTTTGTTCCCTCTCTGCAGCACATAGTGAAGTGTCACGGCAGCACGCTGCTGCCTCAGTTCCTCGGGATGTACCGTGTGAGCGTGGACAGCGAGGAGACGTACCTGATCGTCATGAGGAACATGTTCAGCCACAGACTGCTGGTGCACAGGAAGTACGACCTGAAGGTGAGGAGGAACTACTCAGCACTGCTCAAATAAATCATGAAGTTATACATTATAGTCAATAAATACGGTTTTCTCTGAAATGGTCCTGAGATGCACATGTTTAGCTAATTTAGACCTTTTGCCTTTAGCACAGAAGTGGCTTTGTACTGCTCCTCAATTTACCATTTGTGCGATAAACGGAAGAAGAATGACTTCAGGGAATTTTTCTAAAAGAGTATCCGTATATAAATGCACTCTAAAATGTTACAATCGTTTCTTTCATTTTAAAATTCAATTTATTTCTCAATAAAAGAACGTACATATCCATTTATTTGGATAATTAGACAAGCAATTTGTTGTATGATAACTATACTGAAAGCAGCACCACTGATTACCCTTAAGTATCTGTTTACTTTTTGCAAGTAATGTCGTTGTCACGTTTTCAAAAATGCTATCACATATTTTCCTAAAGTCTTAGTTCAGTTCCTGAATCTCAATATTCACACATTTGTTTTTTCAGGGCTCTCTGGTGGCTCGTGAAGCAAGTGACAAAGAAAGGGTAAAATAGCAATCCTAATTCTTCATTTGTAATATCCTAATGGGGCCAGCTGTCTCCTCCTTACGTCCCTTATGTCCTGCTAAAGATGTTTTTTTTTTTTTATTCCTAAAGGGAAAAGAGCTCCCGACCTTCAAGGACATGGACTTCAGGAACAACATGCAGAAGGTGTATGTGACCGATGAGCAGAAGGAGAAGTTCATGGAGAAACTCAACAGAGATGTGGAGGTAGGTGACTCAATGAGACACTTCTCTGTTGTTGCACCGCTCCGCCACACAGAGGCACCATCAGCACGTCAGGGACGCGCCAAGGCTGTGATGCCATTTTAGCAGCGTGTGGGATTCATTTAAATCTCAGAACATACACCTAGGTCATTCAAATTGATAGATTAATCTGCTACTTTTTTGATCATTCTTTAAGTATCTATTTTCTTCGACAAAATGCTAAAATGTAACCGGTTGCCGCATCTCAAATGTAAACATCACAGAATATAAACTAGAAAATCGAAGTCTCAGGGCACTGGGAATTTGTCTTTGTAGTGCATCAAAACGACATCAACTGAAAACATACACACATCAAGAGCAGCAGGATCTAGCAGAGGAGGCCGGCCCTTCTATAATAGTGAAAAATGAAAGGGTTGTGCATGTACAAGGCATTTCATTCAATATCCCCAGATTTTCCTTTAGTGCAAGTTGATATATAAATACAAATGTTCCTACAAATTGTTGTTTTTGTTTTAGTAAAGGTTAAAAACTAAAGATATTTCAGTTTTGGTAGGTTGGGTTAGGGGGATTTTCCCTCTAGAGACAACCAATCCAAACATTTTTGAATGACTCTTCTGTGGATTCATTTAGATCTGGTTAACAGTTCAGCACTATTTTACCGTGCGTCTTTCCCTCACAGTAAATACATTTTCTCTGTAAGCTTCTTAACAAATATCCCTCTTCAGTTCCTGGCGCGGCTGAAGATCATGGACTACAGCCTGCTGCTCGGGATCCACGATGTGGGTCGAGCTGAACGTGATGAAGAGGAGGGCGAGGAGGTGTCCAACGAGGAAGATCCAGACGCAGAGAACGGCCTTGCGGGGGCCGCGGTGGGGTCGTATGGCACCTCTCCAGAGGGCATCGCTGGGTACATGTCCTGCTGCAAACCTCTGGGGCCCGGGGAGTTCGACCCCTACGTGGACGTGTACGCCATCGGGAACTGCCCAGGTGAACAAAGGCTCAGGCCACGCAATACCATTATTTAAGACTGAGATTACATTGTAATGTTTTAGGTAGGATGCACTGATTAGACATTTCCTCTTTCCTAAATCATTATTTGATTGATTTATTATTTCTTCTCAAAGTATCTCCTGAAACTCAATACCAGTCCAATAAAAGTGCTTTATTTTTCCCATATTTTAAATCTGTTCAGCACGTCCTAACTTCTTTTTCATGTTTATGTAGGTTAACATGCTGTAGAGCAGGGGTCCGCGACTTCATTTAATGTGGCCTGCAAGAGCTTGCAAAGAATATAATACGTTTATTATACGGTTACATGCCACTTTACAGAAGCACGTTGCCCATAAACTACATGTCCCACAATGCATCTCGTTTTGTGACATGCACACTGAAGAGACTTGCAATTATTTGCCCTGGACTTCTGCTTTCAGACGTAGTTAGTTATTACCCTATCTGGTAATAATCCAATTCAGAGGCAATAATGTAATATAATACATTATTTTATATATATATATATATATATTGTATATTTATATATTGTATATTTATATAGTTACAACCGGCCCCTTTGAGTGCAACCATAATGCTAATGTGGCCCGCGATGAAATTGAGTTTGACACCCCTGCTGTAGAGATAAGAAATATTAGTCAGAGAGTATATAATAATGATTATTGTGAGATTTTCCTGCCTCCTGCCTCCAGCTCCTGAAATGTGATCATTTGCGGCCTTTTCTCTGTTTTACATTTCTTTAAATGGAAAATATTTTAGATGTTGGCCGGTTAAAGAGCTATTTTCTTAGTTTTATAGGAATATGTATATTTTAAGATGTCGCCTTTTTTTTCACAATTTTCAAATATTGTAGAGACATAAAGTTTAAACAATGAATTAAGAAAACAACCAGCAAATAAATCCATAGATGCAGTGTGTCCAAACCCTGAATCTGTCATTCCAAAATGATCTCCTGAAGTTTCTATACGTCTCCATGTTGTCTTTTCATCTCCACTTTCACCATCTAGATTCATCTGGAAAATAATAAGGATATATCTTTTATAGGCTTTGATATTCATTTCTTACCCGGGAGCTTTCATCTGGATGAGTGTTTTCTGTCACAGTACTGTACTGTACTGTCGATGCAGCCAATGTAAAAACCCTGATTGTTCTCTGCCTTTCATCTCAGGAGCCCCTCAGAGGGAAGTGTACTTCATGGGCCTGATCGACGTCCTCACTCAGTACGACGCCAAGAAGAAAGCCGCTCATGCAGCAAAAACTGTCAAACACGGGGTGAGTGGCACGGGAGAGGAGGAAGAAGGGTCCAAGGTTCAAAGCTTTACTGTCATATGCATTGTAGCCAGTGGCGTTTTTATATGTACAAAACTGGTGGGGCACAAAAAACTTAGATGTCTATATATAAGCTTCTGCAGTGACGTGCAGTGAGGTTCATGGCTGGTGAGGCACTGGCACTGACTCTTCAGGTTTACAAATATTATATTTTGACCTAAACCAAAATATAATATTATTTTCAAAAGCTTTTTTTGTCTGATGCTTCGATTAATTTTAAACAGACAGTTCAACAAAAGGATACCCAAAAAATGTAATTTTATCATTTAAATATTGAATTGTTCTCTCTTAGCAAAATCCCATTTTCAAAAAATTGCGGTCTTACCTTGACTTGAAGATGAAGTCCATTTGCCTATCCTTCTGGACAAAAAATTCTATAACTTTTTTTGTAAAAGTCCTCCTTATCTTCTTGTAGTTTCAAAAGTCTATCATAAATCTAATCGATAGATTTATGATTCGAAAATTATAAAAGTAGGGTAGACATGTGGATATTATCCGGCTGAACAAAACGTGCATTTATCTAACAGGTACGTTTCCCACAGATCTTATTTCGAGCTATTTTCTAAAATCCTATGGAGAAACCTCATTGCTTTTTTGCAGCTTACTTCCTGGTTTTAGGACGCGTCACTGCAGCTCTCTCGTCTCCTCTTCACACACCACACTTTTCGCGGCACACGTACTTACAGCCAATCAGCTCTGAATGATGTGAGATGACGTATGGTGGGGATGGCAGCTCTGTGCCCCTATGGTCTTTTTTTTTGCCACACACATTACATTGAAAAATACTCTGAGCATGCGCAGTGTAGTTTTTACAGTCACCGTTCACTTTGACAGTGAGAGGGTGGGGCATGATCAGGTTTTGTCCCACATGGTTCAAAACGGCACTGTAGACACTAATTAGAAGAACACAGACTAAAACAGCAATGTACAGACGAATCAGATGATTAAACATGACCTTAAAATATATTTTATATATTTTTTTTTATTTCTTTTTTTGCATCTCTTTGCATTTTTTGTAATCATTATGTGTAATACTTTCTGCTGACACTAGGTGGGGCTGTGCCCCACCTGCCCCTAATGACCAGTCGCCACTGATTGTAGCTACAGTGTAGTTATGGCAAGAAGAAACAGAGTATAAATACAATAGTGCAAGATTATGTTGCAAGACCAATGTGCAAGTGCAGGAGAAGTCAAATGTATGTAGGATAAAATACAATAAGCTAAATGTTGCAAGTGTCCAAGTACATGTAGGAGTCTATATGCATGCAAGGTAGAATCAGATAAACAAGAACATAATGTAAAATGAAATTCTGTACAGTGGAATAATACTGCTTGTAGGAATAGATACATTTGTGCTGTCGGGTTATTCTAAAAACTCTGTACACAGATGATGTTGATGACCTTTCCCTTTTCTCTCCATCCTCCCTCTCTTTGTTGCAGGCCGGCGCTGAAATCTCCACAGTCCACCCCGAGCAGTACGCCAAAAGATTTCGCGACTTCATCTCCAACATCTTTGCGTAACACTCGGCTCCGAACGCTGCCATCTATTTTACCCTTCGACCAAAACAAAATAGTACGCACACACAGATCGTTGTTTCTGAGGATCTGAGGCGGGACTACTTACATTTGTAGCAACATAATGTACTACTTCTGATGCATATATTTATTTTTAAGATTTAAGATGCAGTTCTTATAGATATTAAGCACTCTTTAACGGTTTAACTCTGGAGCATTAGGGTACACGGAAATAAACTGCTGTTGATCAGTGTTAGACCACGTCAGTGCGAGATCAAATATTTAGTTTTCTTCTTTGTCACTTCTCTCTGGGTACCCAGGCCTGATATACACTTAAAGTAAGAGTTTGACATGTTAAGATCATAGCCTATTTACTTTTTTTGCCAAAAGTTGAATGAAAAGATTGAAACTGCTTTCATGTTTAAGGTTCCTTGTGTCGTTCTTCACCTCTAGTAGCAGTCAAACAGTCATTTCTCTATGAGTTGGTCACAATTTTTGACAAATGTGCACCCTGTACACAGTGCCAATGAAACCCACTACTCCACTGACCTATAGGTGCCCCAAACCCAGTTAAAAAGACTGCTAGAAAGGGAACATGGATTTTAACATACATAAAGACTTTACAAATATGTTTATGAGGAGGGAAAAGTATTACACATTTGCATTTAGGAATGTGTTTTTCACATGATGTAAACAAAACTTTTGTTTGTTCACAAGAAAACTCCACAAGGGACCTTTTTAATGTGAAGCTATTCAAGGATGAGCAGATGCTTAGCTTAGCTTAGCTTAGCTTAGCTTAGCTTAGCTTAGCTTAGCTTAGCTTAGCTTAGCTTAGCTTAGCTTAGCTTAGCTTAGCTTAGCTTAGCTTAGCTTAGCTTAGCATAAAGACTGGAAACGGAGGGAAAGGCTAGCCTGGCTCTGTAGAAAGGTAACGACATCCTCCATCCAGCACCTCTAAAGAAGCCAATTAATGCGCACAACTTGTCATTTTGTTCAAACAAATGAGGAATAACACGTCTATAAGTGCAAGGAGCTGTTTGTCAGGGTTTGTTTTCTTTAAACGGAGCCCTGCTAGCTGTTTCCTGTCTTTATGCTAAGCTAAGCAAACCGGCTTATCGCGTTAGCCTTTTATTGGCTTTAGTATCCTCTCATCTAACTCTGGGTAAAAAAAGTGCCTAAAAAGTGAAACTATTCCTTTTAATCCTAGAATAATAATGACATGATGATCGGTGTTAAAACTATAATGGTAGTCTATATTCTACAGTTGGAGCGTAATATTATTTATCTATTGATGCGGGCCATTTGAATGTTTAGAGTGCCAAATGTGTGGGATCAAAGCTTTGTCCTAATGGGATTTGCACCTTGCATACAATTAAATTAACTCTGTTGTGACAGAGCAGAATCGCAATTAAAATGGATCATGTATGATTTTCCTCAAGATATTTACTAAATTTAAAAGAAAATGTACAGAACAGCCTTGTAAATTGAAATGTGTGGTATTTAATAGAGAGCACATTAAATCATTTGACTTGTAAACATGTTGGACAGCGCCTCTTAGCTACAGGAGCCTGTTAAGAGCCTGGGGGGGGTGGTTTAGGATTAGCCTTTTTTTAATAAAATACCTTCGTGTGTAGACATCAAAACACTTCCTGAAATGAGCCCATCATTCTGTACGGACTCCTTTATGAACGTGGTGTTGTGGCAAATGTGAATCATTGTGATGGATTTAGACAAAGATAGCAATAGGATCTACTGTCTGTGTATTGTAACATTTGACATTTAGTGATAACTAGAGTACTGTGTAAAACACTGTGGACATTAACACTACATTTCAGTAGCTTCTGCAGTTAGCCTTAGCACGGTGGTATGATGGATTATTTCTGAATCACTGGCCAGGCAGCGCAGCTCTCTGTTTGATGCCTCATCTCCTCGATGATTTCACATGTTGTATTTTTGAAAAATCCGTGTTTTGGACCAAAATATATTTTACAAGGAATTTCTGAAATGTTTTGGCTCATTTCCTCTCATTGCTCTTTGTTCCCCTTTATGCCACCAGATGGTCAATGTTTGTGCCGGTTTTATGTGACATTTCTCTACAACTATTGCATGGATTCGCCACAGAGTGAACTGCGTTGTTGGGAAGTAGCTAGTTTAAAGTAATATTATTTAACTGCAATTGTGTTATCTGTTTAAGCTATTGTAAAATAATTGTTATTAAATAAGTTACTAATCAAAATGTTCATTACCAAAGAGTTATAACTAAATATATCCCATAAAAAGCTTATGAGTAGATTATAACATTTGTTCAGTGGCAGTGCTCTGATCCTTTTTCAAGGTATATTGAAAAACGTTTAATGTTTGACACTAGTGAGTGCTGAGTAAACTTCCTGGTTTAAATGTATGTAATTTATCATGTCTTTTAATTACAGCTTTTAATTCCCAGTTTAAAACCTTGAGAAAAGTTATCTAATTATATTAACATTAATTTGTTGAATTAAAATAGTGGTTATTACATTTTTAACTATGTAACTATAATATGTTTCCTATTACACAAAAATCCCTTCCCAACAATGCTGAATTACAACAGCTTCTTATCGCTATCAACAGGTCAAACATTTTAATTTGTCAAATATTATATATATTTTTCCACTTAATACCTGCACAACTAATAACCAGTAAAGTAAGAAATACGCAGATCTTATACTCAAGCAAATGTAGCATAACTAAATTATAAAAAAGAGTCTTTTAAAAGTAAAAGTCCTGCTTCAAAATATTACTTAACGTATTGGCATCAAAATATACTGAATCACATTAAATTACAGTATTATGATGCATACATGTGGAGCTAACCTTAATTACTTCGGATACTGCAGCTAGATAAATGCACTTCCAATATGACAATGTTTATTTCTAAATTCATTTGAGTTTTGTGTTAACAAATAATCTTAATCTGTACCGTAACCAAAGATGTCAGTAGAGTAAAGCTTAAAATACTCAGGTAAAGTACAAGTAACTAAAAATAGTAAATGTACTTCATTATACCCACCACTGCTAAAAACTTTCCCATTAGCCTGTGTTAATACTTTGTGTTTTAGTACTTATTGGCAAGTATTACGCTATCATGCTGTGAACTAGGATAAACTTGGTATCTGTGGGGTCACAGGTCAACATGCATGCATCACTGTACATGTTGTCCCTGCAGTGTAAGGTATTATTTGTGTAGTTTGCCAGTCAAAATATCATGTTAACTAAACGTATATTGAATTAAAGTTGTTTTAATGAAGTCTTAGGTAACATGCTAGAGGTCAGGGACTTCCTTTAGTCTCACTTTTGAGATGTGGTTTTGCTGACCGGTTCCTTCCCGTTTCATTAGAGTGGAGAGAAAGAAAGCATTTAGACAATAAGGTCGAGGCAGGACGAGGTCCTCGAGCTGCAATCTGCTGACGCTCCGGAGCGCAGCAGATAAACAGCCTGAATCACAGCAAACACAAATGTTCCTGCTTTCACTCCGTTCAACGCTGCTGACCTCTGACGTGACCTTGGCGAGGACAGCTGCTGACCTCTGCTTAATGCCACATTTCATTAGAGGAAATTAGATAGATTTATATTGTTAATTGTGCAATTTAAGATGAGTTAAACTCTCAAACAAATCTGCTCCGTCATCACCTGAGAAGAGGTCCCAAACGGCAGCTCACTTTTACAGACGAGATGTGCCCCAGGCCTCCCACCTCTTCTACACTCTGGCCGTCACTCACCGTGTCCACAGCTCAAGAGGGGGCTTCCTGGTATTGTTCTCTGCTCACTGTTGTCTGTTTTTACCATTTCTGCACCATCCCTCCCGGCCATATTCACAAACGGGATCAAGCAAGGTAATACATTGAGAAAAATCTGAATAAGTTCATGCAAATTAAAAACTGTTAAATACAAAAAAACTCAAGATAAGCACGGCTGTTTTACCCTGAAGTAAATTAGCTGTTTCCGTTTTAGATAACTTTTGGAACCAATTCAATGAGATGGATCATATGGTATGAGCTTGCACCAAAGTAAAAAAACTTCTGTGATTCACCAATGTGCGTTTTGAAATGCACGGTCAAATTAACCTTTTCTACGACTTTTACAGGAGCCCTGTAATGCTCATTTTCAGGGGTCATATTTGTATTTTGTGCCTCTACTTTGACATGTCTTCTGGTTTAATGTTCAAAAAGCTCTTTATTTTTCTCATACTTCCTGTGCTGCAGCACCTCTTTTCACCCTCTGGCCGTTTCTCAATCGCGAGGATGCTGGCTTGGTAGTCGCGTACTTCCAAGTCACTTCCTTCAGAAACGAAGCAAGTATGCTTCCAAGCCACGGCTTCGGAAAACGAAGAAGAATGGAACAGGCTAACAAGTGTGCCAGGTGTGCGTCATATGAGAGGCCCCGCCTTACATTTTCCACCACTGATTTGGGGAAATTGGTCCGTGCGCAAAGCATTGTGGGGATTTTAAAGACGCGAAGTCTACCCATGGTGCAGCCTCGAAATTTCCCCCAAACCAAGGACGCGGCCTCTGTGGAATTCCAAGTATGCTGGACATTGGAACGGTCCTGCTGCGCCACTTGATGATGTAGCATCCTTGAAATATTGGCTTGGAAGCCAATAACCTCGCGATTGAGAAACGGCCTCTGTCTGAAACCAGATCTGCTCTGAATGGTTAGCTGACCGGCTCTGCTGTGATTTGTCAACCGCTGAAATTTGTCCTGCCCCTTAGCCTATCATGTACAATGGGTTGGAGCGCTAGCCAATAGAAACGCAAGTGTTACATAGTGATGTCACTATGTTCCTGAAGTAAACAAAGGGATGCATGACAGCCTAATGACTGAGAGCAACAAATCAGAGCGTATAGCTGCATCAAATCTTTGAGGAATGACAGGGGAACAACAATTGCTGGCCATTGCACATAGCAAACTGTGTATATGTGTAATCATAAATATTTTCATTCTACTTCTGCTCAACTCCACAGACCTTAAGTTCTACGCGAAGAAATATCTCCACTGTTGAGATAAAGCAGAGATTTTCAACATGGATCTCCAGCTAAGTGTACTATCAATATGAACACCAAAGTACATATTGAAGCAGACCTGAGTTATGGGTACATTGTGGATAACCACCGGCCTAACGTTCTAGTCTTCTTCAAAACTGCTGTCTTTGTTTATTAATCCAAGGATGGCTGTGTCATGTGATACCAATTTGATTTTATGGGATTCAAACTGTTATTTAAATCAAACTATCTGAACAGTTTAGTATGGAAAATCCTGATTTTAAATATAGCTTAAGCTGTCAAATTAATGTAGGGAAGTAAAAGGTTGAATAATACTCTTGTTATGCACTGACAGGATCGCTTTTTAATTCAGTTGTACCTGTACAATGAATAAAGGAGTTCAATTAAATAGTGACGAGAAGCAGCAGAAAATGGCAACACCCAAGTTTCTATGTCCTATTTGGCTGAGTGTTGAATGTACATTTTGCATAAAACCTGTATAAAACCTGGATTTCAACATCGCTCCCCACTACCAACTGAGGATGTCCTGTCATGTGTGTGTGAGTATGTTCATGAGAAATGGGAGGGTAGAAGCTCCTGGCTGCTTGATTGCTCAGATATCTGTTAACATCAGAGCTGGAAGGAGTCATCTGGTGGCTTCAGGCTTCACTCAGAAACACAGCGAGGCCTCAGGAGGGACCCTCACCCTAACCCTCTTCATCTACACAACGTGCCTCTTCACAACAAGGTACAGTAATATATTTTGTTGTGATGTAACAACCTGTTTCCACCATACATTTCTAAATAAAATGGAAAGCCTACCCATTCGAGGTCAAAGTCTAACTTTAGCTATTCAAGCCTGCACATCTTGCAAGAGTTTTACAAGTCAAGGGTTACCATCTAGACATCAGACTGTTAGTGGCATTATGTGTAATGTAGGCGTCATGTTTTTCTTAGAGAGAAAAAATGCATGTACACTACAGTAATAAAACATTTCTTGATATTTAGTCCTTTGTGAGTACAACAGTTTTGCTAAATATATGCAGTATTCTACTCTTTAAAGCACGGGTGGGGAACCTTTTTCCTCTCAAGGGCCATTTCAATTTTTACAACATCCTCCGAGGGCCGTACAAATTATTGAACTCAACCTCTGCTTCAAAATACTAAAATCACAGCCCATTCATTTCGCCTTTCTTTCATGCTGTGCAAAGAAAAAGCAACCTCTTAATCCAGATATCTTACCATGACTTGCTTGGGATATCAAGTCTTACCCAAGCATGACCATGTTTGGGTGGTCATGCCACAACCGTTGTGGCATGACCACCCAAACAGTAAGATATGGACACAAGATGTGTTCATATGTATTTAGTTTCCTATCCATGTGAGCATGATTTAAGTGGGGGGGGAACCTAACCTCCTCTAGGGGGGTCCGGGGGCTTTAAATGTTGAAGTTAAAAGCATCAATCTGGTGCACTTTGAGAGCAAAATTAGGAGATCTATGGATACATCTCTCAACATCCATATGAAACAGAACTGTAAGCAGATTTTATTTTTCGTTATGGATATTTTACAAATCACTCCCCTTTTAAACTGTATTCTTGTTTATTATTAACAACTTTTTTTTACTGTCATATAGTATTTTATACCAGTTTTTCCTTTATTCTCTTAATGTTGTATAACTATAATGATCATATAAAGATGTGCCTCTACCTCACTGGCTGTAGAAAAAGCTTCTTATATTCTTTAGCATAGCTAGCTAACCAGATGCTAATAACAACAAAGTTATTACATTACATTATTACATTACATTGCATTTAGCTGACGCTTTTATCCAAAGCGACTTACAATAAGTGCATTCGACCAAGAAGATACAAACTTGAAAACAGAATCATATACTGTAAGTACATCAGGTTTCATAGAGCCAGTTATTGACTGTATGATAAGTATCACAGATGAACAGATCGCCACTGGGCTTACAACTAAAGACACAGTAAAACTGCGGCATGTGTACGGCTCCTTATGGGTACTGCAATTTTTGAAGTGGCGGAGCCGGAGCGGTGCTCTCCTTCAGCATGTGTCAGACGAGACATATACCACATGATGACCTTTATATATACAGTCTATGGCAGGGGTGTCAAACTCAATTTCATCGCGGGCCACATTAGCATTATGGTTGCACTCAAAGGGCCGGTTGTAACTATATAAATATACATATATAAATACATAATATATATATAAAATAATGTATTATATTACATTATTGCCTCTGAATTGGATTATTATCGGATAGGGTAATAACTAACTACGTTTGAAAGCAGAAGTCCAGGGCAAATAATTGCAAGTCTCTTCAGTGCGCATGTCACAAAACGAGATGCATTGTGGGACATGTAGTTTATGGGCAACCTGCTTCTGTAAAGTGGCATGTAACCGTATAATAAACGTATTACATTTTTTGCAAGCTCTTGCAGGCCACATTAAATGAAGTCGCGGCCCCTATTTGGCCCCCGGGCCTTGAGTTTGACACCCCTGGTCTATGGTGATGACACGTTAGGCTTGTGTTGTGTTCAAGGACCCAGACCATGGCCAGGAAAAACAGGCACTCGCTTGTTTCATTCTTTTGCGGTCAAACATTTCTTTAATTTTAATTTTTTGTTTGTGTTTATAAATTACCTCGAGGGCCGTATCAAATGGTATCAAAACACCAGATGTCGCCAAATCCAACCCACTGAGACATTTATAACTTCAATTTGTCGTTTTTGCTTCTTCTTGTCATCTCTCGCAAATTATGTTAGTTTAGTTTAGTGTTTTTGTCTTTGTCTAGTGATTTTCCCCTTTATCTTTTAATAGTAACCTTCCCTCTCGTTTCAGATACTCTGACCTCCTTTCCTTGTGTGTCTCCCACACCTGTGATTGTCGACCCCGCCCCTGATTGTTTCCACCTGTTCCCCATTACCTGGTGTATTTATTGTCCTCGTCTCCCTTTGTCCTGTGCCAGTTCGTTTCGTTTCCTGTGACTAACCACAAGTGTATCATGCCAGGTAAAATCTCAAGCAGAGCTTTGAGCCACGTCTTGTTTTCTGAGATTTGTTTTGTTAGTGTTTTTCCTCATTAAGAGTGACTTTGTTTTGAAACTGTTTTTCCTCGTTAAGAGTCATTTGTTTTTTGACCTCTGTAGAAGAGCTTTGGTTTGAAATAAACCTTTTTTGTTAAAACCTGTGTGAGTCGTGCATTTGAGTTCAAACCCGTTAATTCAGTCGTAACAGTACGAACTGGCCAAAACATGAACTCAGCCGACTCTGAACAGCTGAAATCAGCGCTTCGCTCTCAGGCAGGCCGCCTCGCTCAACAGGAGGATCATTTAACGGCCATCCAGCAGGGAATATCGCACGTCACAGACAGCCAGAGGGAGTTCGAGTCATCTGTAACAAACCAGATTAACCACCTGGCGGGGCAGGTTCACCACCTGCTCACTCACCTCAAGGCTGAGCCCTCACCCCCACCTCCGGCCGGACCCGAAGCGAATGCGGACCCGGCGCCCGCTTCCCACACCGTGTCAATCCGTCTGGCTCTGCCTGAGAAGTTTTCCGGGGAATCCCATGACTGCCGTCCCTTTCTGGTGAATTGCAGCCTACATTATAGTCAACTTCCGACAGCCTTTCCCACAGAGAGATCCAAGGTGGCTTTTATGATTTCCCATCTCACCGGACGAGCGGCGGCGTGGGCTACGGCTGAATGGTCACGTGACTCGCCGATATGCGAGTCTTTGGGACAGTTTACGGACTCCCTGACGAACATTTTTGACCACACATCCCCAGGCAGAGAAGCAGCTCGGGTCCTTTACAAGTTAAGTCAAGGAAGACGCTGTGTGTCAGACTACGCAGTGGAATTTCGCACCATTGCGGCCGATAGTGGCTGGAATTCTTCTGCTTTGTTCGATGCCTTCATTAATGGACTTTCTGACCCTATTAAGGATCAGCTGGCGCCCTTGGAGCTGCCTGTGGAACTAGACTCGGTCATTGCCATGTCCATTAGGATTGATAATAGACTTGCTGAGAGGAAACGGGAGAAGGACAGGGTTGCACTACCCTATTTCCACCCTAGAGGGCACCCCTACTCTTCTCACTCTCAGGAGACTGCCATGCCACATTCCTATTTCCTTCCATCCCAGAGGTCAGCGTCTCCCAACAAGGCCGAGGAGCCAATGCAGCTGGGACGTGCCAAGCTGTCTATGGAGGAGCGGCGGCGCCGCCTGCTGGAGGGAAGATGTTTTTACTGCGGCCAACAAGGTCATCTTTGCTCTGGATGCCCGGTAAAAGACGGGGCTCACCAGTGAAAGGGAGGGCACTGGTGAGCCGTCTTTCTACGGCAGATTCTCCTTCCCGCAAGTTGACCAACATAAAGGTAATCTGCCATGGAATAAGTAACTCTCAAAAAGTGTTAATTGACTCTGGGGCTGACGAAAGCCTGATGGATTGGGGATTAGCACATGAACTGAGACTTAAAACTGAACTTTTGTCGTCCCCTTTGAAAGCCAGTGCTCTGGATGGCAAACTTCTATTTCATGTCACACACAAGACCGAATCTGTCACTATCATAATTGATGATCATTGTGAACTCATGTCGTTTCACCTGTTTAATTCTGCTCAACATCCTCTCATCCTAGGTTTTCCCTGGCTAACCAAGCATAACCCCTATGTTGATTGGCGGTCAGGTAAAATTAAGGGGTGGGGGCAGGAGTGTTCACAGGATTGTTTTAAGTGTTTGGGAAACATGGCAGTTGGAGGGGTTTCTGGGGAACGTAGTACCGATCGAGTTACTAATACTCAAACCCCAGATTTAACTTCTGTTCCTCCCTGTTACAATGACCTGGCCAAGGTATTTTGTAAAGTGCGCGCCACCTCCCTTCCTCCTCATAGGCCGTATGATTGTGCCATCAATCTGTTACCTGGGGCTCCAATTCCGAAGGGTAGGTTATACTCCATCTCGGGTCCTGAGAAGGAGGCTATGAAGGAGTACATTGACACCTCTCTTCGTGCAGGTCTGATCCGCCCGTCTTCCTCCCCGGCTGGGGCGGGTTTTTTCTTTGTGGGAAAAAAGGACGGATCCCTTAGGCCATGCATTGATTATTCTCCTTTAAATGACATTACAGTAAAGAACAGGTATCCGCTCCCCCTCATGGCTACTGCTTTTGAACAACTTCAAGACTCTAACATTTTTACCAAGTTAGACTTGCGTAATGCCTACCATCTGGTGAGAATTCGTGAGGGGGATGAGTGGAAGACCGGTTTTAACACACCCACAGGGCACTATGAGTATCTCGTCATGCCATTTGGTCTCACCAATGCTCCAGGAGTTTTTCAAGCTCTCATCAACGATGTTTTAAGGGAGTTTTTAAACCGTTTTGTGTTTGTATATCTTGACGATATTTTAATATACTCACCTGACAAAGACTCTCATGTTCACCATGTACGTCAGGTCCTCCAAAAACTCCTGGAGAACAAACTGTATGTGAAGGCAGAGAAATGTGAGTTTCATGCTAAAACTGTATCCTTCCTAGGGTTTATCATAGCTCCTGGTCTGATCCAGATGGACCCGGCCAAACTCAGTGCGGTGGCTAAGTGGCCTACGCCAGACAACCGCAAGGGGGTGCAACGTTTTCTGGGCTTTGCGAACTTCTACAGGCGCTTCATCAGAAGTTTCAGTGCCATTGCTTCTCCCCTTCATGTTCTCACGTCCCCTCAGGTGCCTTTTGTGTAGTCTCCTCAGGCCGAGGAGGCTTTCCGCCGTCTCAAGGAGAGGTTCACCTCAGCCCCCATCCTCATCATCCCCGACCCAACTCGTCAGTTTGTGGTGGAGGTTGATGCCTCAAATGAAGGGGTGGGGGCTGTCCTGTCACAGCAGTCCAAGGAAGACAACAAACTTCATCCCTGCGCCTTTCTCTCCAAGAAACTCTCTTCTGCAGAGCGGAACTACGACGTGGGGAACCGTGAGTTGTTGGCGGTAAAGATTGCTCTGGAGGAATGGAGACATTGGTTGGAGGGGGCTCAGCTTCCTTTTATAGTATGGACCGACCACAAGAATCTTGAGTACATTAGGAAGGCTAAAAGACTAAATTCTCGCCAATCAAGATGGTCTCTGTTTTTTAACCGTTTTAACTTCACTCTGTCTTACAGGCCGGGGTCCCAGAACGCCAAGCCGGATGCCCTGTCCCGTTTGTTTGACCCCGAGCCGGTTGCCAAGAAGCCTGAATCCATCCTGCCACTGAACCGTGTGGTAGGGGCGGTCACTTGGCAAATAGAGTCTGTGGTTAAGCAAGCTAACGGTGAGAGCCCGGCACCTAGTGGTTGTCCGCCAAACCGTCTGTTTGTGCCTGTTACTGTACGTCCACAGGTCGTCCATTGGGCTCACTCATCGCTGCTCACCTGCCATCCTGGGATCAAGAGGACCATATTCTTTATCAAGCAACGTTTTTGGTGGAGATCCATGGAGCGTGAGGTCCGAGAGTATGTGGAGGCCTGTCCTGTCTGCGCCCGCAACAAGACATCCTCCAGGGCACAGATGGGGCTGCTCCGGCCGCTCCCGGTTCCCAGCCGGCCCTGGTCTGAGATTTCCGTGGATTTCGTCACGGGGCTCCCGGTGTCAGACGGTAACTCCACCGTACTCACGGTGGTGGACCGTTTTTCTAAGATGGTTCATTATATTGCCTTACCCAAGCTGCCGTCTGCCAAAGAGACGGCAGAGATCATGATGACGCATGTGTTCCGTATCCATGGTTTCCCCAAAGATATTGTCTCAGACCGGGGTCCGCAGTTCATCTCACGCTTCTGGAGGGAGTTCTGCAACCTCATCGGGGCGTCGGTGAGCCTGTCATCCGGGTACCATCCGGAGTCCAATGGCCAGACCGAACGCCTTAATCAGGAATTAGAAACTGGGCTCCGCTGCCTCATCTCCCAGAATCCTTCCTCCTGGAGCAGGCATCTCACATGGGTAGAGTACGCCCACAACACGCTCCCCACGGCCCCTACTGGGTTGACTCCCTTCCAGGCTGCCTATGGGTATCAACCTCCTACCTTCCCGGATCTCGAGAAGGAAGTCACAGTCCCGTCCGCCCATGCCCTGGTTCGGCGTTGTCACCGGATCTGGTCCGCCACCCGCAGGGCTCTTCTTAGGAGTGGGGAACGCATGAAGGTGGCTGCAGATCGGAAGCGTCGTCCTGCTCCGGAATACAGACCCGGCCAGAGGGTCTGGCTCTCTACCAGGGATCTTCCCCTTCATGTGGTGTCACGAAAATTGGCACCTAGGTTCGTAGGCCCATTCCCAGTGACCAAAGTCATTAACCCGGTCTCTGTCCGTCTTCGTCTACCCAGGTCTCTGAGGGTTCATCCCACTTTCCATGTGGGACGACTGAAGCCGCTAAAGGAAAGCCCCATGGTTCCCGCAGCCAAACCCCCTCCTCCCCCCCGAATGCTCGACGGCGGCCTGGTCTATACGGTCAAGCGCCTGTTGGAGGTCCGGAACAGAGGCAAAGGGAGACAGTTCCTGGTTGACTGGGAGGGTTATGGACCAGAAGAACGCTCCTGGATCCCATCAAGATTTGTCGAGGATCAGACTCTCATTAATGACTTTTTTCGCCAGCACCCTCAGGTTCCTGGGCCGTCAGGAGTCGGCCCTAGAGGGGGGAGTACTGTCATCTCTCGCAAATTATGTTAGTTTAGTTTAGTGTTTTTGTCTTTGTCTAGTGATTTTCCCCTTTATCTTTTAATAGTAACCTTCCCTCTCATTTCAGATACTCTGACCTCCTTTCCTTGTGTGTCTCCCACACCTGTGATTGTCGACCCCGCCCCTGATTGTTTCCACCTGTTCCCCATTACCTGGTGTATTTATTGTCCTCGTCTCCCTTTGTCCTGTGCCAGTTCGTTTCGTTTCCTGTGACTAACCACAAGTGTATCATGCCAGGTAAAATCTCAAGCAGAGCTTTGAGCCACGTCTTGTTTTCTGAGATTTGTTTTGTTAGTGTTTTTCCTCATTAAGAGTGACTTTGTTTTGAAACTGTTTTTCCTCGTTAAGAGTCATTTGTTTTTTGACCTCTGTAGAAGAGCTTTGGTTTGAAATAAACCTTTTTTGTTAAAACCTGTGTGAGTCGTGCATTTGAGTTCAAACCCGTTAATTCAGTCGTAACACTTCTCATATGTTGAGGCTTTAATATCCGACTCTCAAACTACTTTTTGTAATATTCCAACCCAGCACGTCTCCCACCCTCCTCCTGAGTTTCTATTGTGTAACATAATCAGATTAACCCCAGAATAAAACGTAACTATTTCCAGTTATATTAAACAGTTTTCCCTCTGCTTTTCACTCCAGACCATGAGCGCCCACTGCCCCACCCACCTGGATTCTGCCGAAGACTACCGGCGCATCGCCCTCTTCCTCATCCTTCTTTTCATCTTCATGGTGGGCCTGCTGGAGAACGTGCTGGTCATCTGGGTCAACTGGCGCCGACGCCACTCTGCCAACGGGGTCCTGTTCTGCATCCTCAACGTGAGCCTGTCGGACCTCATGGTGATCGTGATCCTGCCGTTCTTCATGATGCAGGCGACCATGGGCAATGTCTGGCTGTGGGGTCGCTTCCTCTGCAAGGTGACCCACCTCGTCGACAAGGTCAACTCCTACAGCAGCTCCTTCTTCCTGGCCCTCATGACCGCGGAGCGTTATCTGTCCCTGACCAGGCCCTCGTTTCCCGCCTTCTTCCCCGTGCTGGGCCGCCGCCGCTGGGTGCTCTGCGGAGGCCTTTGGGTGCTCTCCTTGTTCCTGGCGCTGCTGGAGAACGTCCACATTAAACTTCTGGAGTTGAACGAGCCGGGCTGCTACTTGATACCTGAACACAACACCAGTGAGTGGTTTTTCACCCTGGGTTTCCTCTTTCTGGTCTTCCAGTTCTTGGGCCCGGCCGCCATCATCATCACCTGCAACGTGCTGATCGCTCGTGCGGTTCGGACGGCGCCGGATGTTCAGGACCGGCGGGACGTGTGGCTGGTTCACGTTTACTCCCTAGTGTTTGTCCTGTGCTGGTTGCCCTACCACTTCGTCCTGTTCCTGATGTACGTGGGCTTAATCGACCCCGACATCTTCAGCTGCCACACGATGGAGGTGCTGTACTTCTCGTTCAGCGTGGTGCACAGCCTGTCTCTTTTTCACTGCGTGGCAAACCCCATCCTCTACAACTTCCTCAGCAAGAGCTTCCGAGACAACCTGGTCAACACCGTGCTGAGCCAGTTACCCAGAGATGGAGCCGGGAACCAGCTGGGAGCCGGGACCAACGCTCCCAACGGAGGAGGGGGAGACCCGGGGAAGCAACGCAAGTTAAGTAACGCCAGCACCAGCCAGTCCGATGTTGGATCATAAAAAAAAAAGAAGCTGGGATGAGAAAACTTCACGAGACGTTTTCTTGGAAAGATTTGACAGAACTGAATGGAGATTGTGCAGATCATCTCACTCTGGTCAGAGACTCATTGTGATGTTTGTTACAGCCTCACTCTCATAATCCATTTCCTGTTATGTTTTTGTTTTTTACCATGTATCTGATCACAGAGGAAGGCAGGAAATGTTTGAAGTGCTTTTTTTGTTGTTTAAGCTGCTCAACTCCCACAGGAACCCATGGCAGTCTCTAAGGCAGGGGTCTCCAACCTTTTTTAGGATGAGTTTGTTGTACATGAGCATACCTGCCAACCCTACCGATTTGGGCGGTAGTCTACCGCTTTTGACATGTTTCTACCGCCTACCGATTTAGCTGGCTTTCCCTACCGATTTCAATCTTCCCAAATTATAAAAAATAAAAATGCCCCTCGGCGCACCATAGACAATGGACTCGACTTTGGCTCCTATCCAATGAAATTGGATTTGCTCATCACGTGATTAGTGTTCGGTCTTGGCGCCCCAGTGTTGTTTATTCACATCAGAGATGTTCAACAATACACACAGCTACAGGTTTTGATGTGGACATTCTGCGATGAATAGAACCCCCGAGAAGAAGACGCCCACCAAGCGGTGGGACAATGTGTTTAAAGCCAAGTGGACAGCAGATCACGAGTTTATCAAGGTATCGCTGAGAGGAGAGAAGCACACGAAGGTCTGTTGGCAGGGAAGATAAACATCTTCAAAAAATTCACCTGCTGCAACTGGAAACCAGACCCTGAACTTCTCAAGAAAGCCAAGTCTGCTACATACCAAGCACTAAAGTGACTGAACATTGTATGACACATTTTTGTGAAAAATGCAAAAAGTGATGCAATATATTAAATACATGGTTTATACCTGTAATTACTGTGGTTCCATTTCTTCTGATTACCTAATTTGGGCGTGCACATTTACCATGCGCAAACCTATCTCTTTTGGATTTGGAAAGGTTGGCATGTATACAATATGGGCCTAATAAGGCAGGAGTAGTACCACAATAATAGTAATTCTCCCATAATAACACTTAACAAATATGATCTATTCTTATGTAACAAGACATGAAACTATAAGTGTTAATTGTTTCTAAATAACTCAAAATGTTGTATTTATATCTAAGAATATGTTTTGGGGTATTGACCGTTCAGCTACCAATAGCAAGGTGATATTGACCTGTAGCCTATGTTTCATATTTGCACAGTTATATTTTTGTAAAATTTGTACTGAAGGTTAGACAGGAAACCGGGTACAGGAAGTAGGAGAAAGTGAACTGAATAGCATGGCAGTAGGCTGCTACTAATTTTCCCTATGCAACCTGAAGAGTAAAAGGTCCGTCAGAAAGCAATGACTGTACGTGTAAGTGTAAGCCTTACACTTACACTGTAAGGATTAGTAACATGTATTGTGTTTACAGTATGTGATGTCATTTGGAGATGTTTAAACACAATTTAAATTAAATGGAAACTGAGCAATCTGGTGCCACTAAATGTTTTTAACAACCCGGTATCACGGCAAGACGTGAACATGTGACGATCTACCATGCTGGGAGACGTGAATATATCACGGTTTCGTCCCTTCAAACGTGACAGTTACACGGTATTGTTATCATGGCCCAACCAGTGGAGAAATACCCGGAAGTGCCTAGCAAATGGTCTACCGCGCCTATTGGTCGGTTTTTATTGTCAAAATTAGATGTTTTTAATTTATTTTTTAATCGTCACACTCGATTTTGCCGATTTTCTTGTTGCCCTAGCTGGTCGACACCTCTTTTAGCAGAAACAAAGGCTACATTAATGTATTAAATCGATGTTAATCCATGTGTGTGGAGGTGAGGATGTGGAATTAACGGACGTGACGTTGTGCGATTGCGTTGCCAGGCAACGCAATTTACAAACTCTTCAACTACAACCCTAATTATATTTTAAAACATTTTAGACAGCCTCACGAAATACTTTAATGTAAATTAAAATGTAAATGTGAAGGAATGTGTGTAATGTGGTGATTGACATTATTCACCCACGGATCTATGGGTTGGGGGTATTATTCCGCACGGACATTTTAGTTAACCGGACTCCTGTTGATGTGAAATCCGAAAACATTTAAAAAAAAAAAAAATAATACTTTATTCCGAGTTTGCTTGCTTTTCTCTTTGGAGGTAATCACATAACGGCATTGTAATACACGGTTTGGCTGCATTAAATATGACACATCTGCCGTAGTTCTGTATTTATAGAGCCCTGATGAGAAGACTTCTGGACAAACAGGAAGCACTGCCGCCAAAACTGAAAACGTGACGTGGATCATAAATATATCCGCAATTAAACAACATTTTACATTTCTTTTCACACAATACGTCTCCTTGCAGTATCAATAATAATTCGGCTGACTTTTATATTTGATCCAATTGGTAGATAGGCTGTATTTACACCATAACGGTGCACAGTTGATAGAAAGGCACATCTAGTGGTTAAAGCACGTTATTGAATTTGATTATTTGATTATTTTTCACAAAAATGAAACCATCAATAGCAGAAACAGAATTAACTGTCATTAGTAAACCACCCAAAAAAAAAGATCATAAATGGTTTTGTTTTATAATATATATTTTAAGGATAATAATAGCAATGTAACACTGTCTATGACACTTACTGTATAACACTGATTTGAAAAACATACAGAAAAAACTAATTCACTGCCCTTAATAAAGTATTTAATACATTTCAGGTGTGCTGTTTTGTTTAGATCATTGACATCTGGAGCTCTTTTAATGTCCTTTTTGATTATTGTTACACCAGGTCTTGTCAAAACCTTTATTCCATATTCAATATCCATTACTAAACAAAACAGCAATTCTACTCCACTACAATTCAGAGGTTAACCTGGTATTTTTACTCCACTACATTTATTTTAGTTACTTTGCAGATTCTGATTAATGATGTGAAATATAAACAACCCTTAAATCAGGCTTTAGTTACACCTGAGTAAAATTCAGGGAAAGGTGATTGTCAAGTGCCAACAATCAGGAGAGATATTTGATAGTTGCTGCTTGAGAAGACTAAACATTTATCTGCAGATCCCTATAAAGTATATTCATTACTCGTTATTCTCTACTAATAGTTCATTAAAGACTGTATATAATGGCTATTTTGCATATCCCTTTCAAGATTTCAAGATTTTCTAAGGATCATTGACATATCATATACACAACTAATTCAATAACGTGCTTTAACCACTAGGCGGTGCACACAGCCATAATAACTTTGTATTATTAGTGTAGGACACTTGTGTATGTATAATATCTGAAGATGTGTAGTTTTATTCATGTTTTCACATAATTGTACAGGATATTGTTATATTATTTCACATGTTTTACTTATAATATCTGATTTGTAAAACATCACAGACAGAAAGGTATATCTGTCATTTAACAGTAAGCTATTGAAATTCTGAATCCATAGATGTGTCTCCCATCACCCAAATCCCCTGACTATTCTCTCAACTCAGTATTTACATTCTTATATTCAAAGAAAATCAGTAATATCTTTAAAAACGACAAGTCCTTTTATATCAGCTGTGCACCGTTATGGTGTATAACGTATTTTTTTTCGGATTTCACATCAACAGTAAGTCCGTTTAACTAAAATGTCCGTGCGGAACAATACCCCCAACCCATAGATCCGTGGGTGAATAATGTCAATAACCACATTACACACACCCCTTCACATTTACATTTTAATTTACATTAAAGTATTTCGTGAGGCCTTCTAAAATGTTTTAAAATATAATTAGGGTTGTAGTTGAAGAGTTTGTAAATTGGGTTGCCTGGCAACGCAATCGCACAACGTCACGTCCGTTAATTCCACATCCTCACCTCCACACACATGGATTAACATCGATTTAATACATTAATGTAGCCTTTGTTTCTGCTAAAAGAGGTGTCGACCAGCTAGGGCAACAAGAAAATCGGCTAAATCAAGTGTGATGATTAAAAAATAAATTAAAAACATCTAATTTTGACAATAAAAACCGACCAATAGGCGCGGTAGACCATTTGCTTGGCACTTCCGGGTATTTCTCCACTGTTTGGGCCATGATAACAATACCGTGTAACTGTCACGTTTGAAGGGACGAAACCGTGATATATTCACGTCTCCCAGCATGGTAGATCGTCACATGTTCACGTCTTGCCGTGATACCGGGTTGGTTTTTAAAGCTCGGTTGGATGCTACTCAATCGGATGCTGTTGGTACCTGTTCATGTGGATAGTTATGTCAATTGTAATCCCTGTAATGATGCTGTATGATGTCCTTTTTGTTGTTCTGTTTATGTTTTTATGTTTCATGTGGAACCTACTTGAGCAGAGGCCTGTACTACGAAGCTGGATTTTCGCTTAGCCGGCTAACTTCAGGGAAATCTCGGGCTTTCCGGTCCTACGACGCTGGTTCTCTTTTTAGCAGGCTAGATTTCCATGGTAACTTATGCTGAGCGGCAAACCTGCTCCGGAGCAGGTTAGGTGGCAGGCTAAGAGATCAACTCAGTGAAAGCACCGCCTGCTGACCAATCAGAGCTCCGTGTGCGGAGTTTAAAGCGATCAATTCATATTAAGGCCCCTACACACCAGGCCGATATCGGCCGTCTTGCGTTGTTGGGCGAAAACGGGTTCCTTGTCGCCCAAAGTCAATTTGGTGTGTCCCGAACCCTCGGCCGTGACACGCCTTATCTGGCCTTTCACGGTCGACACCCGGCCGATTCAACATGTTGAATCGGCCGGGTGTCGGACACAAGCTATCGGGCCAAGAAACCACTCTGATCAGCTGTTCAGCTAGCAAATGAGAAGCGAAACGGAAGTGAGGGACGTAAACAAACGATTTAAGGCACAAGACAGCAGCTAAACACCAGCAGGTGATACTTAAAGACATCAAACATAGCCCTTAAATGTCCTCTCTTACCTCCCACACATAGCAGGGACATCTCTGATATCGGCGGGAGCGTCCCCGGCTGTCCTCTGCTGAGAGCTCCGTGATTTGTTTGGTCAAGTCCGGTTTTTCATCTCATCGTACATTTAGCAAGAAGTGGCCATTATTACATTGCTGACTCAATAAACTACACACCAGCCAGAACACTGCGATCATCAGATGCAGGTCTATTAACTGTGATTTTATAGTATGTCTGCACTTTATGTGCTCATTTCATCATTCATGTATTTTTATATTCTAAAACATGTTTTCGAT